TGACCTTTACGTACGTACTTTCATCCGACAAAAGTTGTTGTATTTTAAAATTGTAATCCGACGTATCCATTATAACCGTAGCATTACCTTTATCTGCGCGGAGAATCCGCGCAGATAAAGGTAATGCTATGGTAAATTTTTCAATGCAGTAAATTCATCTTTGGGAAGATTTAATTTCGGCGCTGAGCTTCGACGTAACAAGGACGAAATGTCTTGACGTATAGCCTCTAAATCTTCATTACCAATATTATTTTTATACAGACAGTCCTCAACACTACAGATAATGTTTTCATACGGATTTTTTTGCGGTGTTATAGCGAAATTCATACCTTTGGCCAAAACTTTTATTGTCGCGTCGTCCAGAGATTGTTTTGACAGGTTATAGACCGCACGTTGTTTATTACTCGCGTCTGTTGTCAATGATTGCGTTCCGTTATTACGTTGACATTGGCGTTGGACATTTGATTTCATAAAATTAAAACTAAACCCAAGCATGCCACTGCAAGACTTCAGTTAGTTCATTCTGCGTAGATCGGACCAAAATTAATAATTAAAAAGCTGAAGGTACTCCGGGTTAACTTTGACATCGGGACGTCAATCACCTCAGTCCCCCGTGACCACGGTTGCTGGAAAGCAACCGAAACGTTGGGAATATAAAATAAGTTAATTAAACGCGATAAAATCCGTAAAAATAGTTTTATTCAATGTGTAGTGTTCGCGTAAATATAAGAAATCATTAAAGATAACTTTTATTACATATAAAAATAAAACTACGACCATACCGAACGTGCGAAAGAAAGTAGCATTTTTATATTTAGGTTGAAAATGGTAACCCCAAATGGCATTATGGGCCGCCATTTTGTGACCTAAAACAGTCGTCAGTTGTCGTTTCGTGCGCATAGACCACGTTCTTCAAGTGTTTTCGATCTGTTTTTATTTGATTACCCGGCTTTCGTTTAATAGAAACAGAAACTTTTTTATTCAATATAGATTATAAATAATACTTATTGAAAGTCACTCTTTTGTATGATTACCACTAGTTCGAAAAAAAAACCTCTGTCCTGGGAAGAATCAGCAAGAAACCCAGCGGGACTTTTTTTTTAAATAACAGCTTACAATCATGTATGTTACACAAATTAACAACACAATAAATTAGAAATAGCTTGGTAGCGATCACCTCATTTCCAGGGGTTATTATCATCTATAAATTCATTAATATTATAATAACCCTTTTTATACAAACTTAGTTAAATAAAGTTTTTGAACTTTGAGCAGGTCAAATTTTGTATATTTTCTGGAATTTTGTTGTAAAAGCGTATACATCGCCCCAAGAATGAATTACTGACTCGATGGAGTCAAGTAACTGGTACTACTAGCTTGTGTCTGTTCCTAGTATTTACAGAATGGATATCACTTATTTTTGTGAAGCTACTTTTATTTTTGTGTACGTACATTAATTTTCATAAATGTATTGAGAGGTCAAAGTTAATATATTAATTTCCTTAAATTTTTGTCGCAGTGACTCTTTAGGCATTAAATCATAAATTGCTCTTATGGCCCTCTTCTGTAAAACAAATATAATTTCAGTGTCAGCTGCGTGTCCCCATAGCAAAATACCATACGACATTATGCTATGGAAATAGCTAAAGTAAACTAGTCTAGCTGTTTCAACACTAGTTAGACTTCTAATCTTTTTTACAGCATATGCTGCAGAACTAAGTCTGCTTGCTAGTTTTGATATATGAGGGCTCCATTGAAGCTTCGCGTCTAGTGTGATTCCAAGAAAAATGGTGGTATCTACAAGACTCAGTTTCTCCCCATTTAAAATTACATTAGCATTTAATTTTTGACATTTGGAGTCATAAATTTCATACATTTCGTTTTAGTGCCATTTAAATGCAAATTATTAACATTGAACCAATTTACTAATTTAGATATAGCATTATTTACTTCGTCATATTTTAGCAATTGTCGACTTAATTTGAAAATTAAAGTAGTGTCATCTGCAAATAATACTATATCATGGTTATCTCCTACTATGTAAGGTAAGTCATTAATGTATACAAGAAACAGAAAGGCGCCGAGAATTGAGCCTTGAGGCACGCCCATTAGTACCATCGACCCGGAAGAACTCATACCGTTAATGACAACTTTTTGCGTTCTCTTACTTAAATATGAAATAATTAATTTAAGAGCATCACTTCTTACACCGTACAGTTGCACTTACAATGGACTGTTTCTGCTTTTCAAACTGACATCGGCGCTAAATCGGATTTCGATTGTGTTTTGTATTGCGTTCTTTTTACTTTTGGTGCATAATAATGCCTAAACGTGGACAAACATTGAAAAGTGGAGCCCGTGAGTTAATCATCAAGCTGCAAAATTACTTTGAGCGGGAGCGGCAAAATGACGGACCCCTGTTACCTGTCGAACAAGTACAATAACGCGTATCTCAGGCGCTTGGAGTTAGCAAACGAACGATAACAAATATTAATAAAGAAAAGTTCGGCTCTACTGGCACGGAAGATAATATTTTACGTACTCCGAAGAAGAAACGTAGAACTAAACCCGTGACAGATATTGACACCTTTGACGCCGATGCAATCAGAAATCATATATATGGTTACTATTCCAGAAATGAATATCTCAACAGAAAGAAGCTTTTGGCATCGTTAAGAGAAGCTGGACTGTTTAGCGGGGGTAAAACTGCTTTAACCAAAATCTTAAAACATATTGGTTTTTCGTATAAAAAAAACAGACAAAAGAAAAATTTTAAAACGGATAAGTTTTTTGAGAGAAGCAAAAAATATTGATAACTGGGATAATGTCGTGTTCATTGACGAGACATGGCTAAACGCCAATCACACGGTTTCCCGTTCTTGGACGGATGATACACAAGCGTCGACGTCGAAAGTACCAATGGGTAAGGGGGCCCGTCTGATAATATGCCACGCAGGTTCTGCAAAATACGGCTTTGTGGAGAACGCGTTACTGGCATTTCAATCAAAAACCACAAATGACTACCACGACGAAATAAATGCCACTACATTTAAAGAGTGGTTCCAGAACGTGCTTTTGTCCAGCCTACCAGAGCCTTCTGTAATATTTATGGATAATGCCTCCTATCACTCGGTTCAAATACAGAAACCACCTACCCAAGCTAATAAAAAAGAAGAAATGGTGGCTTGGTTACAAGCAAAAGGAATTGACGCAAATATGCAGATGCTAAAACCAGAGCTAATTAAATAGTTAAAGAAAATAAAGCGGCAAATGTGCGATACGAAATCGATGAACTGGCTCTGGAGTACGGTCATCGCGTTCTAAGAATTCCACCGTATCATTGCCAATATAACGCGATTGAGCTAATCTGGGCTCAAATAAAAGGTTACGCCGCCCCTCACAATACTTCCCCGCCATTCAGCACGAAAAAGATGATGACCCTATTAAAAGAAGCCTGCAGGGCAGTCACAAGAGATGACTGGGCAAAGGTTGTTGAGAAGACTAAAAACCTGATTGTGGAACATTTTGACCGAGATATCAGGATTGATTCTGTTATTGATAATAATATAATTATACATGTAGGCGAAGATGATGATAAAGGCACCACCTCCTCAAGCGAATCGGAGTCTGATTAATATTCTGTACGCACATTCAATTCAATGTACTTTATTGCATAGAAATACAGATTGTAACTTTGTAACAAAGAATAAATAAAACAATTTTATTATATTAATATTACCTTTTTTGCTTTCCACTTAAATTACTAAAATATAAATTTTAAATGATTCCGCCAATTTTAAACGAAAATAATCTTAAAAATAACGAGGCGGTTCATTTTGAAGGAACGGTAACGAACTCAGTGTTATGTTTTCCCCTCACTAGTCGTGACTAACTGATAGGTGTCACGAACGCATTCTCTGAACGGCCGAACTATAGACGATCCATTTTCGTTCTTCGACTAGTCGATCAACTAGTTAAATTTGTCGGCTAGTTTACGCGTCAACTCGGTTTTGTAGACGTTGAAATTTAAACTCCGTGACGTCGTATATGATACCGTGACGGCATTCTATTCTTCACCTAACACAATACCAAACTGCTATTTATACTCTTACGCTGTCTACATTTAGAGTTCTAATTTATTTACACAATTATGTCATTTCAACGAACATAATATGAACTAAAATTATCCGACCACGTTATCGAATCAGTCGTTGCGTTGTTAGTAGAAGAGAACGTTATAGAGCTTCAATTTAGCCGTCTACGGATTCGATTATTTCATTGATTGGTCGTAAACCGTTCACACTATCACAGTACGTCGACGGTCGAATTAACTAGTTCGTTCATTCAACGCCCATAGCTAATTCGGACATTACCATCCTCTTAATAGTTTGTGGCTCTGTGGACATTACGTCAAAACGGAGTTTTGGCGGGAACTTGACCTGCGACGGATTACTGCTCCTGTTTTATTGTTTAAATAATGGTTTGAAGTGGATTTTGATATGTAAAAGTATTGCGATTTTATGTATTAACTCTGCGCATGTGAACTATTAGTGGAAACGGTGAAAGAAGTGCTCTGATGGTGATGTGATTCTCAAGATATGGTGTATATCTGCTTAGACGCCTTGAGATATCATCGCCAACTGACAGCTGTCTGCTGGCTCAAGTTATCGTGAAAATCTCCCAACGGCTGCACAATGTGACGCATCAACATATTGTGAAGCAGTGTACTATGAAAGATAATTATTATACATTGTAACTTCAGGCTCCGAAGGGCTAGAACCCAGAGCCGTAATGCCAGTTATAAAAAAAACGTCAAAACGTCAATCAATGGTCTATTGTTCCCTATATATAATGTACTCTGTGGTCTATTGTCAACTTGTCATTAGAATAACGATTTGTTTTTACTCTTTAATTATTAGGAAATGAATGAGTTTTACACTAATAAATATTAATTACTTTCAGAAATGAATTTCTGTTGAATGCTCTTGTAAATTATTAAAATGGCTTTAAATTTACATCAAAAGAGGTTATGGCAATGCGCTTTTATGAAAACCCGTAGTTATTGTGAGAACAAATCTATTTATCAAAGAGATGAAGAAGGTAGAAAACCTCGTACAGTTCATGGAAAACCGTATCCTGAATGGCGAAAGCCATGGATACAACGAGAGGGAGAGTGGTATAGTAAATTATCACTTTTTGTTGAAAAAAATCCAAGCATGCAAATACTTAATGCAATGCAGCAAATACCAGATTTAAATATGCAAAAAGTAAAGAATTGGTGGGCAGATATGAAGGAAATACAAGAAATCGAGAATCAGAATTACATGCCTCAAAGAGTTGCAACACTGGGAACTAATTTAGCCGCAGTGCACTTTTTTACATACCGAAAAGCAGCAGTCAGGTATATTAGAAGTTAAACAGTAGACAAAGTTGAAGCATTCATTATTATATTTTACGTTTTTTTTTATTGTACACTATAAGATAACAATTTTAAATATTTACTTTTTTGTATTTGTTTCAGACTGAAAGACTCAAAGCATTGGATTATCGGAGACATTACTACACTGAAATTACCGGACCGTTTTGTGGATGGTTATTTTGTAGAAGCCATTGACTGTACTAACTTTCATCACAATGGCATCCGCTATAATGGATTAAAAAATTTGGCTGGTCTTAATTATCTAAAATGGCTGTCACTACAAAATAATAAACATATAGATGTTTGGTGTCTTGATAGATTAGCAGGTCAAAATGGAGATACATTGGAGTTTTTAAATATTACTGGATGTAAGCTATGTGTTGGTTCAGTCATAGCTCTGTCTAGAATGTCTGCTCTCAGATTTTTGGTTATATCAGATCCTGGCAATAATGTTGAAGTACAAACAGCTTTATCAATGCTTGAACAAGAGAATCCTGATCTAATAATAAAAATTTCTGAAGATGAAAAAATTAACTAGTCTTGAATAATAAAAAAAATATTTAATTTATTAAGATGATTGTGATTTATTGATTGACTCTGACTTATTTTGGTTAATTGAAAAATATTTGCTGTTACTTTTCTTTTTTTTATTGACGTGACAAATGAATTTTACATCACATAGCCATAGATACCTGAAACCAACTTACCAGAACGCTACATATACATTGTAATCTCCGAGGACTAAGATGGAATGCTTCACATGACCTGTAATTTTAACAGATATTCTTACCCTTCAGACTGGAATACATGTGATTAGAATACACAGATTTACACCATCTGTGACAATACCTTGGCAAACGGGACTATGGGAAATATCAGATAGATCTTATTTTCTCATAACAAACTTGTATAATAATAATAAAGCCCTTTTATTCAAACAAACTTGTATAGCACATGTAAAATATCAACATTAATAAAGGGAAGCATCATCAAAACTGCAAAACATCTGATACTATTTGCCAATCTGCCTTCCAAGTATGGAAGGTATGGCATATAGTCAACAGTGAAACAACAGCTAAAGGCAAGGGGGTCAAACACTCGCCTTATTCTAACTTAGTTATGCATAAAATGCATATGCAATGAGATTGGCCAGAATGCAGTGTTAGTTAAACAAAGTTTGAAAATTTAAAGCCATCTTTATATAATTAAAAAGAATAAAATACTTTCCACGTAGGAAGAGATGAGAAGTTGGTGCTAAGACACGTAAGGAAGAATTAAAACGCCCAACTTCAAAATGATAAGACATTTAGAGGAAAATATTTTATTCTTAGTTCTTTAAAGTCAGATTTAATTTTTATTAAAAGTTAATTTTTTTTAACCTCTAGAGTAGGCCGAAACATGTCACAAGTTGAAAGTAATAACTTTATTGTTGTTTAAATATACACATTAAAAACTTCCAACCCATCTTTAGATCTGAAATTTTTTTCTTCAAATTAATGAATATTAAGGTCAATGAATCAGTTCACAATGGACGAAGATATTGCTTAACATACATACAAAAAAAAGGTTATTTACCGTTTATACATCCTAAGGTAAAATAAATGAAATATATTCTTTATTATTAGTGCAATAATAGTATACTACCTACATCTTATGATGGATAAACAGAATAACGCGTCCATTCCATCATATTAAGTCTTTTTGAAGTCAACTAAAATCACAACCAAACATAAAAACTAAATTTTTGTTTTGTTTTGAGTCAAATATATTATAAACAAAAACTAGGGCAATGAAAGATCAAAAAGAACTGGTCTGACTGCTCAAAGTACAGGCTAGTACAAAATGCCTATTGGCCTATAAGTCAACCTTACTCAACACCATAATATTATGAAGCAATTGCAACATATTACGAAACATTTTTTTGTTTTTTAGTAATATAGTAGTAATGCTAAACATTACTAATATTCCCTTTAACCACTTCTGGTACACTTAAAATGCTTGTGTTAGAAGTGGTTCATGACAGTAGTCGCAAGGCGGATTCGAACCCACTACCTTTCGAGTTCGCGTCCTGCCATTAGGCTACTGATGCTTCATTAAATAATGAATATTCCTTACAAAACATTGGACTAATTAAGTGATAATGACCAAATGAGAGTGAAGCGGCGGTTATTCCGTTTATCTGTTATTTAAAAATTAATAATATATTAAAGTGTGAATATATTTTCTGTTGATCTGTACTTGGGAGGGGAAAGGTAGAACAACAATCTAAAAGTGAATTCCGACTATCCACCCGTCTGGGGTGAATAAACGAACATGCGTTTCCGAGTATCCATCCTAGGGTGGATAAACGGAATAACCCAAGCGCGCAAAATATTATGGTGCTACTAGCTGACCCGGCGAACTTCGTACTGCCTAACAGTCGATTCTTTAATTTTTTTTTTTAATACTTATTCTGCTATTCGGGACACCGGGTCAGCTAGTAAGATAAAAAAAGAAAGTAAATAAATCAAAAATTACATTATGTCAGAAAATAAAAATTATAAAACACTTAAAATTCTTTTAATAGTCACTAAAAATCACAATGAAACTTACAATTTTCGATTTCTTATTATGATACCTACTTATTATATTTCATTTTATTTTTACTTATTCTAATTGACAAATATTGACATTAGTATTTATACGATACTAACGTCACTCAATTGTTTTGCCTTCCCGGAACCCCTCCACTTACACTTAAATTTTACGGTATGGTATTAAAGTTCAAATTGACTTTTAAGTATTATTACGAATCTTTTGTATGGGAATATAGAAAAGAGTTGTTTTTAGACTTTTTCAGGCAATTTTTTAAATGTTTCTCCGTAAGAACCATCTTGGTACTTCAAGAAATATTATAAAAAAAAGAATTAGCGAAATCGGTTCAGCTGCTCTCGAAATTTGCACTTAGCAACACATTCAGCGATTAATTTTTATATTATAGATTCTTAAAAGAGTTGCCTCGTAGCTTGCCACTAGTCCATAGTGGTCGTAAAGGCGGCTGCTTATCATGTGGGCCCGAGTCAGGACTAAAATCTGTTAAGTTTTTCTCAGTGAATAAATTTTCAGTAGCAGCCCGAAATCAGGAAGATGGCGGTTTTTTTTATACGTTACCCCCACACTAGGATTTTCTCCTGTGTCGTGGAGGCAGTTTACAAACATAAATTGCACAAGGACAAACATCCAGACCCGGAACAATTATTTGTAGGCCATACAAATACTTGTTCCGTGCGGGATTCGAACCGCGGCCCCCAGCGCAACAACTGATTGCTAAGCCACTGCGCCACGGAGCCGTCACGTAAAGCCGTTTCTTTAAAGAAATGGGGTGACAAATGAACACACAGTCCACCTGAGGTTAAGTGGTTGCTGTAACCCATAGACATCTACATCTATCCTCATTTGCTAATTAAAATTCAGATGCGTTCTCAGCCTTGAGGAATAAGATGGAATGCCTCTTTTCCAGCAAAAAGGGTCTCCAGTTCTCTTACACTCACCATACAAAACACAGTAGCATTAACTGCTACATTACGCTGGTATTGTGTGAGAGCGTGGTCCTTCCCCGGTCGAGCCGACCCATTTGTACCAAAACTATACTATGAATATTGCTGCAGCTATGCTCTACCACGTACCAGTACCGTTGTTGGTTCTGCGCCTGTCGGTCCTCCGGTCGTAAACTTAAGTTTCAAAATAACGAAATTATAAATTGTAATAAAATTTTCCCTTTTTGCCAATAGCAGTGACTAGAAAAAGGAATAAAAATGGTCGAAACGACCAAGATGCCTAAAATCGCCGTGAAGTTACCTAGGTTCTATAGATAATACACAGTAGGTTTTGCGTTCGTACCCTGACCTTTCTTGAGGAAGAGCGATAGGTATGCCGCGGAAATTCCACCCCATATTTTTATTCCCACAAAACAGGTTACGGTGAACCGGTAGTGCCAAGCGTGCGCAAGTTACATTGGATATAGGTAGTGTAGATTTGTACACAAGTATTTTTGATATCAATTGTGAATTGGAAGTAGGTAGACAAATAAAACAAAAACGAGTTGTCGAGTTTCTTTATGTTTTAAAGAATTAAGTTTGTACAATGATCCAATATGCTTGAACAAACTGTCCACAGTTTAATGGTTGATAGTCTGATGCCTGCACCGGATGGTTTGTTTCGGTCATTGTTTAATATAATGTTAAGGAGCTATTTATTTTGGTCCATTAGTTGGATTCATAAACACTTAAAATCTTGCAAGGAAATGTGATTAATTTCTCAGATACTTCACTTTTACTGTTTCCTCCTAATTCAATTTATTGTACATTAAATTGAACACTTAAACCTAAATAAACCTTCTAAACAAGATATTTACATTCACGGCATTTTGACTAACACAATTAGAGTAATGCCATATTTAGAACTAATAAATAACGAATATGAAATGCTTTATTAAAACGTCCTTTCGAAACAATCACTAATATTTCTTAAAGTATTTAACATTGTAAGTGAAAAAAAAGTGAATTCAGTCTAGACTAACTGCTTATTACTGATTTTTTATTGACTGACAAAGCTGACGATTCTGATTGTTGTTTCTATAATAACAGATAATTGTTATAAATTAATTCCCGAAAGTCAATAAGGCACATGTAATATGCAGCAATAAAATTTTCATATTTGTTATTAAAATAGCACGCAGAAGATTCACTCAATACTCAACATTACACCGAAACTGCAACATCACAACGTATACTCAAAACTTAAACCGTCTTATTACAAAAGATGGTTTATGATAGTCTTGGGTTTAAACTGTGGTTTAATAAATTTTTGCTGTCGAATTCTATGCTTTATGTTTTACTTCCGATATTTTCAGCGGACTGGATTTCTTCCTTGATACATACCAGTTTAAACCTAACTAAATAAACTACTTTTTTTAATAAGACTGAAAGAGATGGACGCTATTAAAGCAAATTGAAACATCATTTCAAACTGTCATAGGTGACAAAATTTATTAAAAATTGTTAAATTTATAGCTGACATGGAAATATTGCAAAAATAAACATAGGTGTATATAGAATACCTTTTGGTATATTTATTAAAAAGCGGTATAAAATTATACTTCAAAGCAAAATAGTTGGAGAAGTGACTGAAATTAAAATGGATGTTGAAGTCTATGGATATGTATGGTTAGAACAAGCAGATAAAATTAATTAAATTACATTAAGCAACATTGATTACAAGGCATCAATGTACAGGATATTCCTTTCAGTTCCTACACATTCAGAATAAAAAAGCGTTTTTCTCACGTTTTAATTTAACTAAAATAACGTTTAATGCACAACGATACCAATTTTGCTACGTTATATGTGAGGTGGTCTGCACATAAAAATGGGTATTTAATATTAGATATTTCTTACATTTGAACAAAGTTTAAAATGTTACTGGGTATTACTGTTTCTTATATAAAGCAAATTTATTAATATGTCATAGCCCGATCGTTAGAATTGGGCCAATCGTAATTTAACTGGGCATTTTATGATACGCGACGTATCATTCATGATTTGGTCGATATTTTTTATAACTTTGACATTTTGCCAATATATTAAAAATACCAAAAAACACCTACAGAGTAATATCAGCGACAGTAGATTAAATTGCGGTTGGGGTGTCCGTACAGACATCCCAAAGCCGCGTACATTTATATATTATCATATAAATTAGATACAAAGTGCTATGGCGGATAAATTATCGGCCAAATCAAGAAATGCCCTGGCAGATTACAATCTGCCCGATTCTACAATGGGATTACAAATACATACAGTTCAAAGATTCGGTTTAATTCCTAATGCATTCTACACCATTTGTTGGATGCTAATAAATGTACTGTTCTGACAGGAAGTAATAACGTGAGGCTTGTGTTTACGTCTAACTGGTAACAACGGTACGGTTTGTATAGCTAGTGTATGACAACAATGATTATGATCAATTGACTAAATAAACGTCGGTTCCGATTCTCGAAAATTTAAAAACCCTGGGACGAAGTAACATTACCGAATAATCATCCGAGCCCAAACAAAACAGTTTAATTTAAAACTTTTGGGCACAAAAGGTAATAAATTTTTGAGATCGAACCCTCGTATTTGGTATTGAACCATCTACACAACTATTAAAGATTTATTTAACAGTGCGAAAATATCTCTTATATTTAATTTTTTTAATAAATTCACTTTAATTCCAGACTCCTAAAGCAATTATCTAAGCGCCGAAGAGATCATTTAAAAATACAATTTTGACATGTAAATATTTAATTGGCCGAAAGTACCCCGAGTATAAATTACATTTTTTGTCTTAACCATTATCGCCTTCTAAATAAAAACCAATCACTTTGAGAGCCGGGAACTTATGCTAAATTTTAAAATAAATCTAATATATTTACATTGAGATTGTTATATTATAAATATTCAATTATCTAGTGTCGTTAATGATTTGAGCTGATTCTGTTAAACCATCGTCATCTTGTATGTCAAAGACTATTTCTACACAATATATTGATAGAGTCAGACATACCAAGAAAGATAAAGAGTTTGCTATAAAACGAAAACATATGACGGGTTTTTAAGTTCGCGTAAGACCTCATCTTACAAAATAATCAAACATGGCATTCAAAAAGAATCAAAATCACACCGCATCACTTAAATTAAATCACTGTACATAATCATACACAATAGTTAAATAAGTAGATATCCATCTAATAAAAGAAAAAAATTTAAAACGCGTGGAAGACCGACATCACAACATAAATGATAAAACGATACATGAAAATTTTTAAATTGAAGTTCGCACCAATTTTTCACTAACATATTGACCGCGTCCATATTGCACAGGGACGCGTATGAACCCCTACTCCTTAGCGTTTAAACCTTACTCGTTAAAATTATATTGCACAAACGAGTGCGTTTTGACGCGACATATCTGATAGTAAATGCAGTGTTATATCCATGTATTGTATGTAAATTAAATGAACTATATGACAAGGTTGCGGCCTACGTCGAAACTACATTTTCCTTCTACTTGAGCTAAAGTAAAACTCTATATGCATATAATACTTGCATACGTCTCTACTGTCAATACAAATTCACATTATACGATAAGAACAAAAATGTAATGCACTTTATACAAGCCTACACAAATCGAACAATAAGACTTACAAATAAAGGTATTGAGATCGTGCCCATAATGAGTAATGTGCTAGATACAAGAAATAAATTACGTTAAAACTTTACCTAAACAAGACGATTTTAGAACTACCCGCGACATCAATAACTGAAAATAATGGCGACCCTGCCTAAGCAGGCTAGAAAAAAACAATACGAATTTTCTTGTGTTTTTAGTTTCAAAAGAGATCTCACGTATGCTTACATAGAAAATAGTAAAATTTCTGGTGTGATATTTTATATTTAATAAAGATTGGACCGTATTTTGTTTTTCATTTAAAAAAAATTATGACAGGCGGTAAACTTGTCTGATCTTTAGTTTGGACTTTTGTTTTTAGTAAAAAAAGAAATTAATTCTTTAAAATTAATAATTTAATAATGATATAGGTACTGTACGCTCATTGGAGTCCTAAGTGGGTAGTATGTATGTAGTTTTTAACTATAGTAAAAAAAATCTAAAGTTAACAACTGTTACAAGTTCGACAATCTCTCGCGCCACTGATCTACGAAGTATACATTGCACAATTTTTATTTGCTTTTTGTCGTTTTATACGCTTAATTATTAATTACAACATTGAATCATTCGATTAAATGCAAATCACGCATTCCACGTAACACATAGATCCATCACAAAAGTAAGTACATAATGGTACTTTATTATATTCGTTCATGTAAACTCCATTGTTTATAGATAGGCAACATTTAAAAAAAAAATTTGGTATAATGTGTGCTAATAGAATTTTTTTAAAGTACATTTATAAGCATTAATGCATTATAAATTCATCATCATCATCATTATTACAGCCCTTCACAAGTCCAGTGCTGAATATAGGCCTCCCCCAAGGACTACCCAATATCGTCCCGTGGGTGTTAGGGACGACATAGGGAAAATGAAACAGGCAATGGGCAGCGGCATCTTCCTGATAACAACTCAAAATAATAAAAAGCTGCGGTTGCCAACCCGCTTGACAAGCGTGGTATCTATGGCAAAATCCCCCCATAAGGCAATCTATGAGGGAGACCTATGTTCTGCAGTGGACTTTTATAGACTGTAATGGAATGGATGGATGAATTGTCAAATCGGTTTTACATTAAACATTTCTATAATTAAAAAGGAATTTATAATTATAATACATTAATGCTTACAGTTGTATAATAGAGAATCACATACTAAAAGAAGGTTGTTGCAAGAGTTTTGCGACTGCTACAACTACTTTAATAAACATACAAATTGTCTAATCTAAAATATGTGCCTACTGATGAACCACAATGGAGATGGTGTAACCGCATCGCTAACTGGCCGTCGAAGTAGGCTGTAGGGCCGCGGAAACTAAGGGCGAGTTGACATCTGTAAAAAGAAAATTATTTAATTATTTTTTTTCCTAAAAAAACCTACAAAGTCACAGGCATCTACTTTTTATTGTAATGGGAGCAAGCTACGAGCCACGCACGTATAATAATAGCAATAAATTTATTCACTCTGTGAATAAATTTACAGAATTTTTTAGAAATTTACAAAAACTCAATTACATGCAGGGTATCAAACTATTACATTACTCGTTTTTTTTTTTGGCAACATACTAGTAAATAAATAAAAAATGAAATAATAATAAAACAAATAAATAAAAAAGCACATAACCAGTGTGTTGCCGGTAATGACTTGTGGAACCTAGATATGTTCCTTCTTAGCCATATAAAAAACTCAATTTCTAACGAGCTTTGGAGAGGAATCGGCGTTTCTTATTTTGTACGAAGATATCCCGATATCACTGAAAAGTAATATAATATAAAGCCATATACAAGGAACCGGTATCTAATGGAGAATAAATGCAGCCAGGTACTGGCCAGCGGCCCCCCATGAGATGGAGTAACAGAGTACTTGGTAAGATGTACAAGGAGTTGATAGTCGCGGTTGGCTCAGAACCATGCTAAGTAAATAGACTAGCGATGGGCTGTATGATGGTGATCATGATTAAATCTACTGATATGTTCTTTGATATTTTTTCTTATAAAGCAATACTGACTTGTAGGCGTGTTGACCTCGGAGTGTGGTGTGAGATTTGACTGCGCCATCAATTTCTGTCGCACTTCGCGGATCTTGAGCTGAAGGGACATTTTTGTCGGGAATATGTCCATGTGCGTTGTCTGTAGAAAGATAATTTTAAAGTTAATATCAGTGAAAGTATTCGTCAAAGGTGTTGTTCAACATGCAAACACTTTTTTGGTGTAGTTTATACATAAGGAAAAATTAAACAAACAATTTAAATTATTTTTTTTTGTTTTCAAAGCAGTAATTTATTTCGACAGCTTTAAAAGCTTTAACTTTTACTATTATAATAATCAATAGTCATAAAAAAAAAACAGAAGAGTTTGCTAACTTTGTCGAGCATAGAAAAAAATACTTTATAAATTGACATTTTTCATTATATTGACTCATTGAAATGTTTACATGAATCACATATCAAACACAAACATTGTTTTTCGTTTCATTGAATTTGATCAAATAGATTGCTAAAAATCTTAGTAAATAACTATTATTTACTCGATTGTATAAATTGACGTAGATACTTCGCGCACTTACTGGTCGAAAATAAAAACTCCAAGCGTTGTTGTTAAATTAGAAATAAAGCAAAGATAATATTCCTTTGATTTGATTGGCCCTAAAAACCAACATCGAGTGGAAAACGCGAGTATTCGAGTCAAGTAGCATGTTCGTACATGTTCGTACTATGCCAATTATATATTTTCATTAGAAATGAATAGATACATGACTAATGTGAAGGTATACCTTAGTAAATAGAATAGATTAGAATAATTTTTATTTAATATAGACACATTACAAGGATACTTATTGAAAGTCAGAAATGCTTATAACACTGGTTTGGCAAAAACCTCTGTCCTGGGAAGAACCAGCAGGAAACCTAGCGGAACTCTTTGCTTTAAATTTAATCTTTAAAAATAAATAAAAAAATTGAAGTTTTTGTTTGTAATGTCAAAATAACAGCTTTTTATTAAATGCATATGAAAGTATATACGGTACTTATAACAAAAGAAAAACAATTTTTTTTGTCTGTCTGTTCTGACTAATTTTCGAAAAGATATACTGATTTTGATGGTATGTTCTCTGGTGGCAGACAGATGATGCTATAAGGAGTAATTTTGGCTACATTTATTTTAGGAATAGAATTAGAGTATCGTGGGGAAAAAAAACATGAAACCTAATATAAATTCCACGCGGACGAAGTCGCGAGGAACAGTTAGTTGAAGGTATAATACTGTTACGCGCCACTATTAATGTCTTGTACATGGCAACACTAGTTAGACTAGCGCCCCCTAGTGTCGAGTAAATGAAAGTATTGCGCGCCACTATTAATGTCTTGTACATGGCAACACTAGTCACACTAGCGCCCTCTAGTGTCGAGTAGCAGAACTAGGAGAGTCGAGATCCTTCCAGAAATTTCGGGACCGATATGTACTCGAACATTCTAGATGTCGCTACAGTAGAAGGTTCTGGAAACTATCTGTGGCCCTATATAAGGCCGGTATAGACCACGACCGGGGCAGTATTGAATTGGCGATACAAGAGAATACTTCGAAGCGAAATAACGGCGAACTGTGTTTTATTATTAGTGTGATTTTTGATTGTAATTAGTGTTGTGTAATTAAAGTGTCAATTTTGGTAATTCAGTCGGCAGTTTTTAATTGTCTCGAACCCGAAGCTCGTAACAATTGGTGTCAGAAGTGGGATCAAATATGCCGATTTTACCTAAAGACGACACGGAGGGTATCCGTACCCGAAGTCAACGCCAACAGGAGACGGACCAGAGACGATTTGGTAATGCAACGCCGCAAACGTCGGAGGGCCAGTTGCTAACCACGGAGGCTGGCCCGTCAGCAGCTCCTGCATCTGCAGCACCTGACTTAGGTGCTCTGATGATGATGCTGCAGGATCAGGCTCGCCGACAGGAGGAACAGGCCCGCCGACAGGAGGAACAGGCCCGCCGACAGGAGGAACAGACCCGTCGGCTGGAAGAGCAGCTGCAGCGCGGTATGGAAGAACAGATGCTCCTCAGGAAGGACCTTCACGCTACCTTCGGGAAAGAGATAAAGGAGGTGAAGGATAGGGTTACTCAACATGACAACCGCCTGTCGGAAGCTGAAACCCGAATCGACCAAGTGAACAATCGGGTTGACAACGTGATGGCTGATGTGAAGAAAACGCTGGACGACCTCAAACTTGGGGATGGAGTTACAGCTCCCGTGGTAGCTACAACACCTTCGCTACGTGGATTCAAAGTGCCACCGTTCGACGGGACTTCTTCCTGGTCGGCCTATAAAATCCAGTTCGAGGCTGTCATGAAAGCGAACGGCTGGAATAAAAGTCAGGCCATGACTGCTCTCACCCTAGGCCTGCGCGACCAGGCATTAACTGTTCTGGAAGCTCTCGGTAAGGAAGTGACTTACGAGCAGCTCCTTGAGGCATTGGAGGCGAGATATGGCGACGCTCACCTGGAACACGTCTTTCGTGCGCAGCTCAAAGATCGCGTGCAACGCAGTAACGAAAACCTGCAGCAGTGGGCCCTTGAGGTGGAGAAGCTGGTTCGAAAAGCGTACCAGTCTGTACCTGCGCTTATTGTAGGGAACCTGGTGCAGACATTCATCGACGGCATCCGCGACCTTGAAGTCAGAGCTGCTGTGAGGCTCGGGCACCACGAGACGCTTAAGGACGCCTTGACCCATGCACTGGAGGTGGAAGCCGTGCGGCAGGATCATCGTTCCCACCGCGTCAGGGAGGTTGCAGCAGCTAAAGTTCAGGACCGCAATAAAAGCTACAGCCCTAGGTGCTACGGCTGTGGAGAAAGGGGCCATCTTCGATCCAGCTGCCCTAAGCGAACTGTAAAAAGGGAAGGTGATCGATCTCGAGAGGTTAGTGCGGATAATAGCACCGCCCAGCAGCAGCAGGGAAACTGGCGGGTGCTGGCTGATGTTAAAAGAGCCCCAAGGATTTCGATCTCACAAACTCATGATGGGAACAGCCTAATCATCAAGGGCGAAGTCAACGGAACGCCATGTAAACTGACCATAGACACTGGAGCCTCTCGCACGGTTGTCAGTTCCAAACTTATAAGTCGGTTCCTTGGTGACTCCGCATACAACCGAGAACGCATTAATTTGGTGACAGCCACTGGTCAGCGCATACCCGTCCGTGGAGAGAAGGAGATGGAGTTGAAGCTAGGCAACATGAATTACCTGCATAATGTCATCGTGGCTGATATAATGGACGACTGCATCCTGGGCCTAGACTTTATGAGGAAGAATTGTTGTGAGATCGACGTTAAGCAAGGTGTTTTGAAATGTGGACAAGAAGAACTTTTCATGGAAGGGGCGTTACCAGGGAATGTGTACAGCCTTAAGAAGATTGTTCTTCCGCCAAGATCGGAAACGATTGTGCCGGTTAGTCTTCCTCGGAGTCCTGGGCAAGCTCATCGTTGTGTACTCGTGGAAAGGGTAGACAATGAACTTCCATGGAAAGTGGCTCGAACCTTGGTCAGAACCACCGACATCTCAGGAGTACGTGTGTTGAACCTTTGTGATCAGGATCAGATTATAGAAAAAGGCACATTGGTTGGTATTAGTGAGGAAGTGGATTGGTTGCGTCGGTGCGAATATCTATCGACCGGGACCCCTAGCAAGGATGGACAAACGAGAGTGACCACACTTTTAGAAGACTGTCGCAGCGTTCTCTCCCCGAATGAAATGGTCAAGGCGAAGAAGTTGTTACTCAAGTACGCCAATGTTTTCTCGTCAAACGAAGCTGACATAGGAAAGACTGGCTTAGTTCAACACAAAATAAACACAGGACAAGAATTGCCTATTCGTCAGCGGCCAAGAAGATTGCCTGTAGCACGTGAAAAGGAAGTGGAAACCATGATTGAGGGAATGGTGAAGGATGGTGTTATTGAACCTTCATCTAGTCCATGGTGTTCACCTGTGGTGCTGGTAAAGAAGAAGGACGGCAGCATGCGGTTTTGTGTCGACTACCGCCGCCTGAACGACGTTACGAAGAAGGACAGCTATCCCTTGCCTAGAATTGATGACACGCTGGATATGCTCACAGGTGTAAAGTGGTTTAGTACGCTGGACCTGAAAAGTGGCTACTGGCAGGTTGAAATTGACCCTAAGGACAAGGAGAAAACTGCATTTTCCACAGGAAAGGGTCTGTGGCAATTTAAAGTCATGCCGTTTGGATTGTGCAATGCTCCAGCAACGTTTGAAAGGTTGATGGAGCTTGTACTTACCGGGCTAATTGGAGATGCTTGTCTCGTCTATTTGGATGACATCATCATCGTAGGCCGTACGTTTGAGGAGCACCTTCAAAACCTGGAACGCGTGCTCATGAAGATCCAGAGTGCCAACCTCAAGTTGAGTCCAAAGAAGTGCTCACTATTCAAACGGCAAGTTAGTTTTTTGGGGTATGTAGTGTCGGAAGAAGGTATCCGCACGGATCCAGAGAAAATTGCTGCTGTCAAGGAGTGGCCGGTCCCAAAAGACAAGACACAGGTTAGAGCATTTTTGGGTTTGTGCTCTTATTATCGGCGATTTGTGAAGAACTTTGCAGATATAGCCAAACCTCTGCACAAGCTAACCGAGGAGAAGCGACAATTCTGCTGGGATGAAAGTTGCGATATTGCATTCCAGGAGCTCAAGAACCGCCTGTGCAAAACACCTATTTTGGGGTACCCTGATGCGGGCAAGGAATTCATAGTTGACACAGACGCAAGTGATATAGGACTTGGCGGTGTGTTGTCTCAACGGAATGGTGATCAAGAGATTGTGATAGCGTACTTCAGCAAGTCGTTGTCAAAGCCGGAAAGGAACTATTGTGTCACAAGACGGGAATTGCTTGCTGTGGTAAAGTCCTTGCAGCATTTTAGCAAATATCTTCTAGGGCGGAAATTCCACTTACGAACTGACCATGCTGCACTGAAATGGCTATTTCAGTTCAAAAATCCGGAAGGACAAGTTGCGAGATGGATAGAACTACTGCAGGAATACGACTTTGTGATCGAACATCGCAGCGGGAAATCTCATGGCAATGCAGATGCATTGTCAAGAAGACCTTGCCCTGAAGATTGCAAGCATTGTACTAGGCAAGAGGGTAAGGAAGTGGTATCTGTGAGAATGCTCAGGACAGACCAGCTCAGCAATGAGTGGAAGGACAGCCTACAACATGCACAGCAGGAAGATTCGGACATTAAGCCGATTCTGGAATGGATGAAGGCCAGTGCTCCTAAGCCCAAGTGGAGCGACGTCTCAGCAATGAGTTCGACCACGAAAAGCTATTGGGCCCAATGGGACAGCTTGCTGATTCAGGATGGAGTCCTGTGCCGTAAATGGGAAAATGGTCGGGGAGACAGGTGTCATTTGCAAATGGTTGTCCCTAAGGCTAAAGTGCCGGATATTCTACAGCTGTACCATAGTGGTTGTTCAGGAGGCCACCTGGGAGTTAAACGAACTCTCCTGAAGATCCGAGAACGGTTTTACTGGGTCCACTGTCGTGACGATGTCGAGGACTGGTGCCGCAAATGTACAAGTTGTGCGGCTGTAAAGGGACCTCAAATTCGTAGTAGAGGCGCAATGAAATTGTACAATGTTGGTGCACCATGGGAGAGGATAGCCATTGACGTTGCGAGGCCGTTTCCAGAAACTGAAAGTGGTAACAAGTATTTCATGGTAGTGATGGATTACTTCACTAAGTGGCCAGAAGTCTTCGCCATTCCAAATCAAGAAGCTTCAACAGTTGCAGATAAACTAGTTCATGAAGTCTTCTGTCGTTTTGGAGTACCTTTAGAGATTCACAGCGATCAAGGAAGGAATTTTGAGTCTCAAATATTCCAGGAAACTTGCCGAGTTATGGGTACTCAGAAAACACGAACAACTTCTTACCACCCACAATCTGATGGAATGGTAGAAAGATTTAATCAGACATTGGAGAGGTGCCTAGCAAAAGTTGTGGAAAAACGACAACGAGACTGGGATAGGCACATACAACCGTTTTTGTTGTCATATCGAAGCGCTGTTCACGAAAGTACATCAGTGACACCAGCTTACGTAAACTTTGGGAGAGAATTGCGGCTGCCTGCAGACCTGATCACCGGAATACCACCTGATGCCCCACGCAGTATAACCGATTATGCAAATGACTTGCGGAACAAAATGAATGACATTTATGAGCACGTCAGACAGACGGGCCAGCAAACGTCTGAGAAGATGAAAACACGGTATGACCGCAAAATGAACAACAAGGGGTTTGATGAAGGTTCTCTAGTGTGGTTACACAATCCAGTTCGCAGCAAAGGGAAATCTCCTAAGCTTCAAGCTAAATGGGACGGACCGTACCGGATTGTGACAAGGATCAATGACGTAACCTACCGGATACAGAAAGGTGCCAGAGGTACTCCTAAGATTGTCCATGTGGATCGACTGGCGCTTTATTATGGGGCCAATAATGCTCGGGACGAGCATGTCTTAGGAGGGGGCAGTGTTACGCGCCACTATTAATGTCTTGTACATGGCAACACTAGTTAGACTAGCGCCCCCTAGTGTCGAGTAAATGAAAGTATTGCGCGCCACTATTAATGTCTTGTACATGGCAACACTAGTCACACTAGCGCCCTCTAGTGTCGAGTAGCAGAACTAGGAGAGTCGAGATCCTTCCAGAAATTTCGGGACCGATATGTACTCGAACATTCTAGATGTCGCTACAGTAGAAGGTTCTGGAAACTATCTGTGGCCCTATATAAGGCCGGTATAGACCACGACCGGGGCAGTATTGAATTGGCGATACAAGAGAATACTTCGAAGCGAAATAACGGCGAACTGTGTTTTATTATTAGTGTGATTTTTGATTGTAATTAGTGTTGTGTAATTAAAGTGTCAATTTTGGTAATTCAGTCGGCAGTTTTTAATTGTCTCGAACCCGAAGCTCGTAACAATACGTTGTACAATTAAATATGAAAACGGGATAGTATGCATTCGTGTATATATAGGTTATATTTGTAAAGATTATATATTAGTAAAATGTATATATTATGCAGTTAATTATCATTTTATTGTTTTTTTTTTTAAATATATATTGGTACATCTACGTCTCACTATTTCATGGGTTGAATGGTAGAAATTGCGTCAAGGTATTAAGTTCGCCCTTTGTGTTCTTTTGTTTTTAAGGAATGCAATTAAAAATAAATAAATAAAAATAAAATAATAGCGATAATGGGGTTGCAAAATACAAGGAGGAAAGTGCAAGCGGCGAGTTGGCGAGTTGGCGAGTTGGCGAGTTGGCGAGGTGGCGGTGTGACCTGGAAGTTGGAGGTGGCCTGCGTGGTGGGGAACATGCCGTGCTCCTGGAAGAGCTTGAGCACGAGGTGGCGGCGCTGCTCCAGCACGCGCCGGTGGCCGGCCTCGGCGCGCGCGCCCGCCGCCCCCGCGCCCCCCGCCCCGCACCCCGCTCCGCCCGCCGCGCCCACGCTCGCCGAGCACGGCGTGTGCGGCGACATCTCCTCCGCGCCCTGCTCCGTCACGGCTGCGTTGCATACGAATATACAAATACAATAAACCGTACACACTTACATACTCAAATTTTATAAAACATTTTTTAGTATTATATATATTTTATTTAGACATCACACTTTCGATGGCCACCCGACAGCCGACACCAAAAAATTGCCTTGTCTATAATCATGTATTGGCCAACATAATTATTATTAATGTCCAACATTTTCGGTTAGTTGAGAAGACATCCAACTACACCCGACAGCCAATTTATTGTAGTGTCTATAGCGTGGTTGGACAACCGAACAACATCAGTATTAGTCAGTCGCGTGCGCCACGGTAGCGGTCGTTTCCGTTCATTCGTGTTTTATATAGTATGTGGTTTAAGATTTTATTCCGTTTGTTTGGATCACTATATATTGCAAATTTTTAGTATCTTTACGTCTGGTGTCTATATTAATAATGTCGGAAAACGAAGATAATAACAACAAAGAAACTGACAATGCTATTTTTCTTCTTGATAACAGGTTCATTCTCATAATTTTTATTTAAATCTTCGTTGTCTAACACTTTAAGTCTTATATGAATAAACTCACTTCATTGTAAATATAACACTTTACACCAGGTTTTACTCTCCCTACTTTTCTTTGAAATTATAATTGATGTCAAAATACTAAACGCAATCGCAACCTTCTTCCGTTTTGATAATTTCGTGGACGTGGTGTACACGTGTCCGTTCCTGTTCCCTGTAGGTAGAAACTAGCAGTTGGAGAATTTTATTGATATGTCTATTGGCGACTGCCCGATCGATTTGTAATAACCTATCCCAACAGATTGCGTTATCTATACTTAGAAACCATTTATCCTCATGGCTCCACCACACTATGCTTCTCACACTGCCCACCGCTCTGCTCCTCGCGCTGCCGCGATGTTGGCCTCTCTGCCCACACACTGCTCTACTCGCGCAATTAATCGCGAAGCGCCACATTACGTCGCATTTGCAACACAATGGTTGCATATTATGCATATGATATAATGCATATTTAGTATAGTCAAACCTGTCTCACTATGCGCTTTAGGCATGAAAATATACCTACGCTCCGCGGCCCCATACAAGGGTCTAATTCCGTGAGGTGGTCACGCGCGCGATCGAGTTGACGCGCGCTTTACGTTAACAAAAAATTATTTTTCTCTTATAAGTATTTAGACACTTTTGATATTTATTTTTGAGTTTTTATTCAAGTATGGCTTCTCAAAAAGCCAAAAGGTACTGCATAGCATACGGGTGCTAAAATAAGAAATAAAATGTCGACTTTTCATTCTTTACTGTCCCTAAGGACACCGAAAGGTAAGTTATTATTATATAGAGGTAGATCTAGATAATTAGGTACCTAGTTACTGACACCACAGTTACAGATTTATTATTTGATTAGCGACCCGACCATAGCTTCGCAGTTTTATATTTTTTTCGCATATAATGCCAATGAACTTAAAAATCGTGTAAGTAGACATCAAAGTACTAGTGACTGCCTAATAATGCAAGACGAGCATATACGAGTTGTTAGTTTAACACTTGGTCGATAAAAGAAAGAGATTGAATATAGCAGCACTTCTCATTGTCACGCTTTCATTAATAATGCCATCGCGTGTCGCATGTTCGTAAATAGCAAAAAATGTGAAACAGACAAGTGGTGAAATAAAAAATTTTGTACAACCAACTTCAATATAAATAAAATGAGAACATAATTAATGTAGATAGTCGAAGTTAATTAAATATGCATTATAAAGTATAACTTCAAAAACTACTGGTCAGATCTTGATCAAATTTATATGGGACTATATGAGAAGCAGCAGCTTTCAAATAAAAAAAAGGATCATCAAAATGGGTTCACCTAGAAATGTTCTGAGGTATCACCAAAAAAAAATACAGTCGATTTGAGTACCTCCTCCTTTTTGAAGTCAGTTAAAAATGGTAAGTAGGTAAATTATCTGTGTTTCAAAGCCGTTCACGTTATAATCTTAATTTTTCTCGATGTTGCATATTAACTTTCCTCACATTGAACAATAATGTTCTTATTATCACCAAATTACTAATACATTGCATAACACATCGGTGTATTCTAATGCCAACTTATATCAAAGGATTCAATTTGTTTCCTCACAACACCTAACCCTACAGTAGGAGCGGCGTGAACAAAGGCATGTAACGGGCTAAGTGATACAGACTCTCGCATGCGAACGTTAGGTACATTTTGAGTGAATGCGCGCACCGCAACAATCAGTAAGCTATTTTAACGAAGGTCGCATCCGGGGCGTGGTAAGTATTATGAAACGTTGTAACTAGGTTTAAACTCGAAAGTTTGCTATCAGAGAGTGATCCTTCTGTTCTTATACTATTATTTATTCTGTGGTATAGCTAATGCACCACGCCAACAGAGATGGTGGATGACAATTATTCATCGCCATAGAACGACGCTTCCGTAACGAGCGCTCGATTCGTATTGCGGTCGCGTGATTATGTGGCCAGCCATTCGCGCTCACATTGCCAGTCCTTTGACTCGCGCCCAAAAAACTGACAAAACATGGAGCGATGAGCATGACATCTGGAATGACGAGTATTGTTGCCACACTACGTCTTTTCCTCCTCTCCTTTCCTCGCTACTTCTAAAAACACAGCACCATGCAATATTGTTACGACTTACTTTATTATTTAACTGTTGACCCCACAATAGGCCAGGCCTTTCCTGTGGCGGTTATATTTTACCAAAATTGAAGCCGGCGTTTACACATAAATCATTACACAATTCCAATTTTCAGTTAATATAAATTAATTAAAAACATGAATACAACGTTGAATAAAACAAAAAAAAGGAATGATACGATACAGAGCCCTAAAGTGGACCACGAAAACTACGTATAGATGACGAATTAACACTTAGTTGCTACTAAATACAGTCCGTACGTATAAAGAATGAGATTAGAAATGGCGGCTCATAGAGCTCGTACCGTCAATATGCACAATATACGTTACAACGTTATATTATTCGGTTATTAAAGTTGTTAAAAAAATAATTTGCGTTATGAACGTTCATTAAACTAAAACATACTTTATAATTATCGACGTACGTAATATTACAAATACTTGCATAATTAAATTAATAACTTGTACAATAACGCATAGGCATCAATCTTGTCGCATCACCATTTAACCGCTCCAACTATCTATCAGTATCTATAGAACATCTCGTTACGCTTTGCATAATGGGCAATGAGTGATACGTGCGCTCCTATACCTTGCTTATTTATACTCTAAGGTTCAGCCATTACGGAGATTAGCTCGGACAGACAAACGAACATTTAGAAAATGGTTACTCATGTCTCAAGGGCACAAATATTTTATACAAAAACATTAGCAAACAAAATCAACAATAATTATGAAGAAAACTCTCAAAACTAAATTTTTTTGTAGTTTATGGCATTTTGTTATCATTGATTCCAATGACAAGTTGGACTGAAGTTATAGAACGTACGAAAAACGCATATCGCAACGTATTTTATCTTTAGCGGCTGATGAAGGGTGATTTGGTTTGAAGAGTTAACAGTAACACTATGAATATTTCGCACCTTTCACGCTGTTTCTAGTCACAGATCTCGGACCTTAAATCCAGCATTTACGGGATTAGAACTATTGACGAATATAGCAAAAGGCAATATAGCAAGCGGCACGGAACAGTGTACCGGCGGTGTATGAATGTATACTGCCCCATATCGTCCCGTTTGTGTTCAACAGCACACATAACAACTCAAAATATGTTGTGTTCAGCAGAGAACTTATGTTGGGCTGTAATGATAATGATATACAAAATAACTATACCTTCATCTATTAATGGCCAGGATATCTTCCTGGAATTTTCCCCAATGTAATAACATGGACAGAAATAGATGCGAGTGATGGACCCCAACCCAGCCATCAGACTAAGACTTTTTGTCACGTAATAGCACCTGCTTTAAAAATTAACATAAAAGACTAGCAAAAAAAAACACAGCATAAAATATTACCTCGGAAACTGTCAAGATTGAAATCTGGACCGAAGAAGGTATTGCCGACAAGTTTGGTGGTTGTGTGCGGCGTGCCGTACGAGTGCGGCGTGGGCATGCCGTTGGCGTTTATAACCTCGGCTTCTAGTTGTGGTGTCACCGCTGCGCCGTCTTCCTCTGTTCAATTCACCAGAAGGATATTAAATACTGGTTATACAAATTATAAGTGAAACAGTAAATAGCAGCATCTACAACAAAAGACAGTTATTTGTCAGTTGATTTGTAAAATCAACAGATTTTTTATAGACTAGGGTGACAAACAAGCACACAGTCCACCTGATGGTAAGTGGATGCTGCTGTAGCCCATAGACATCTACATTTACCTCCAATTAAGAATCAAAATGCAGATGCGTTGTCACGCTTGAGGACTAAGATGGAATGCCTTTTTTCCAGTAAAAAGGATCGCCGGTTATCTACACTCACCATACGAAATACAGCAGCATTTATATATTAAATTTATATGTTAATACAAAATACCGAATAATCCAAAACCTATCCTGTGAATGAAACTAAATTTACTGATTTTACTAGTTAAATTTTATCTTACTTTTAGTTCATGAACTTTCGTGTGCTTTGCAGCATCTATGGTCACTAATCAATATGATCATCGCCAATAAAAAAAAATAAGTAATTTTTTTTATGTAAATACACGTACCCAGTTTGTTGTGTTTCTTCCTTAGGAAATGTGGACTCCTTGGGACTACCATAGCACTCGGACTGCACGCCTCAGGTTTAAACTGCGGCAATGTGCTGAACTTCTGCTCAAAGTTTACCGTTTCCAGCACCCTGATACAAATTAAGAAGGTTGTTTTAACACATTTAACAGTTTCTTTATTTGTATAATGTTTATATTGAGTTAATCTTCGAATATCCCTTTGCCTTTCTTTTATTTATCAGAAGTTACTGTCAACTTAAAATCTGTGTTTTTGATACTTTAAACGATATATTGTTACGAGATTTAACCTAATAAATTACAGAAAAAATAAATTACTGAAAATAACTTTGCACAGAATGTAATTTCTACTGTTCCATGCTATGATTACCTTATCGAAAGATGCATATCACTGGCTTAAAAATATACAACTATGTGTCATATTAATGGATTTAGTACACAATTAGTGTGTAGTGGCACAATTTTAGAAATACAGGTTGAAATTCGATTCTGGGTAATCTAGATGAAAATTGAGAAATAAATTGATTTACAATCTTCCCTACAATTGGAGGAGAGCAATGCAACAAAAGCATATGCAACAGTTGTAAAGGGTTAAAAAGGAAAAGAAAAACTGTTGCGGGACTCACTTGTCGCGTCCATCCTCGTTGCCCTTCTTGAATAGACTCTTCTTGAGCGAGGGGCTGGGCAGGTTGTCTGTGTGCTTGGGCGAGGGCAGCGCGTCCCCGTCGTGTGCGGCGTGGCCCGCGTGGCTGCCGTGGCCTCCGTGCGTCCCGTGGCCCCCGTGGCCGCCATGGCTCGCGTGTGTGCCGTGTGCAGCGTGCGTTTGCGTCGCCTGTGTGCTCTCCAACATGCTCTCCCCTCGACCTGTGGCCTCCCCACCATTCGAACTTGTCGACGTGCCTGTAATCACGGAAGAAGATATTACAATAACGAAGCTACAAGTACGTACAGATCAAAACCCTCAATTAACAAATCCACTGTGTATGGATAGATACTTTGTACGCAATAAAGTGATCTTTAAATACTGTTGGAAGGTTGTGAAAGCGATTCATAAATTCTTTTGGGGAATTGAAAAAGCTAAACGATATCATCATACGAAAGAAAGAGGTAATTAAAATAAAAAAAGTGGTTTCGTTATATTTTTTAGTATTTTCTTAAATAAAAAACTTAATTTAGTTAAAATATCAAAATATTAATATGTTACATATTTACCTCGGCTTAATCTCTTTTGGAGAGGAGCCCTACCAAGTTGTGCAGGAGTGGGGGCCAGTGGGAATGGACGTGTTTCTTCTACAGGAGCTTCCCATTGCCTGTAATTAAAACATATAATGTTAATTATATACATATAAATAACACTTAATTTTTTTAACAGCAGGATTCCTACAAATACTAAATAATACTTACGTATTAGGTTTAGGCACCGTATGGTTACTTTGAGACACTATCACAGACTGACCACTTTGCGCGTTTTGGTTTTGATTCTTGTTGGGGTCGACTTCTGTAAAAAAAAATGTAAATAAATTAAAAAAAATATAGTCCGTAGTAAAAAAGGACTCGACAAGAAACATTACTGACCGGCTTCGAAAGATGGCACGTACAATCTTTGCAACTGCACGTATGTGAAGAGGTTGCCTGACGCGTCGACCGATAGTGTTATCGGTCCAGCTGCAGAATAATTTTATAATAAATACAATTATTTCAGTAGTATGGATTAAGTTTGAGCGAAAGCAAAAGATAAAAGCAGAAGGCTCGCTCCCACAATCCTTGTTTTTAATAACCTTCACTTGGGTTACCTTACCTACAGTACAATTGTAAGCAACTTTTATAAGTATAATTATAATTTAAGGAATTTTAGTCTAGAACCACTACAGCCCGTTAATATACTCAAACAATTTTGTACCAAAAAGATAGTACTAGTCTTAGTTTGATATTTGTATGGCTTGCGTTTCCTATTGACAGGGTTTGACACGCTAGAGTTTTGGGCAAGCTTCCAGCTTACGATTTATCCCTTGGTTTGATTGACTATTTGAAGGAGTCTCAGTGAACGGGCTCTCCAAGTCGTCGTCGAGAGTCGCTCGACTCCACTTACCTTATGACTACTAACGCTGGAGTTCCACAAGTTCGTTCTCTCCGCGACTGTCTTTTTTGTTGCATAAAAATTATCTGCTTATGCCTGGTAATCTATGAGTATGCGGACGACAGTACAGTTGTAGAGAGATAAAAGCCGAAAACAACGATGCAACATTCAATCAGTTTCAACTAAGCAACGAAAACCATCTTCCAATCCGGCTGGTCACCGTGGAAGATCAAGACCAAAACCCTCTAAAGAAGACATCTCAAAATCAAACTTCTTCAATAACAAGAAATGATACACAAACCCAAGAAATACTTAACTCAACAAAAAAGAAGAAAGATCAGCTGTACATAGTAACTTACAACGTCAAAACTTTATTTACTTACGAACGCTTAATCGAACTTAGCGAAGCACTCATTAGAGTCAAATACGACATAATTGGATTGCGTGAAATAAGGAGGACGGGCACCCGGATAGAAGAATATAATAACTTCATACTATGCCACACGGGACACACACATGGTAAACATGGAGTCTGTTTCATAATAAATAAAATTCGGAAGAACTGGATTGAAAGTTTCATGGGCATAAATGATAGAGTAGCATTATTGAACTTAAACATACAAGGATTGCCCATGTCAATTATCCAAATATATGCACCGACTGAAACAGCGTGTGAAGAAGAGATTAACACCTTCTACTCAAATGTCAATAGAGCCCTAGACCAAGCTTACAAGAACTATATAATAATGGGTGATTTTAACGCGAAAATAGGTCAACCAAGAAAAGATGAACATCTAATAATGAAACCAAACGGGTATGGTGAAAGAAACCAGAGAGGTCAGAGGCTAATTGATTTCGCCCTCGAACACAAACTGGCCATCTTAAATACTTTATTTTATAAAAAACCAAACCAAAGATGGACCTGGCGATCACGGAACGATAAATACAAAAATGAAATAGATTATGTACTGTCAAATCAACCAAACATCTTCCAAAACATAGAAGTTTTAAATTTGAACTACCCATCAGACCACAGAGCAATCAGAACAACAATGTCTGATTGCTCTGTGGTGTGTGTATAAAAGCAACCGCTATTCATCACTGAAAACCGAACAAGAAATATTATTTTATAAACAGAACATCTCATCTCAGTTACAAGAATTACATAAGTGCCAAGAAAAAACATCAGTACGGGCTTACTATAACACATTAACCAAGGCCATAACCCAGAGCTTACAGAACGCTCGAACCCCCAACGAAATATCAAAAGATAATCATAAAGTTCTAAAAGAGCGCACACTGGAACTTATCAAGAGAAGACAAGAGTTACAACATGCTAAGATAAAAACTCAAGCCACTAAAAATGAATTATTAGCTCTATACAAATTAATAAGTAAATACATTAAACATGACTACAAAAGCTACAGATTGAATACTATCGAAAAACATCTGGAAAAGCAGGAAGTTCAAAAAAGGCCCTTAAAGAACTAAGAACAAATAAATATTGGATAGATAGTTTAAACTATAAGGACAAAACCGCAAATAATCGAAAAGAAATCATAGATATAGCAACCCATTTTTATAAAACATTATATAAAGCACAAGGAAACGAGTGTACCGGCCACAGAAACGCAAACGATGTTAACTCTACAAACAAAAGCGGACACATAACACCAATAACTGAAAAAGAAGTCACACAAGAAATAAAAACGCTAAAGATAGATAAGAGCCCAGGACCAGACGGCATTACAAATGAAGCAATAAATGTTGCTTGGCCACTACTGACTCTCCCATGAATACATTTATTTAACCTTATATTAAAAACTGCTGAAATACCATCGCAGTGGGTAGAGTCAGAAATAATTTTAATTTATAAAAAAGGTGACGCAAAAGATATCACAAATTACAGGCCTATAAGCTTACTCTCACGTATCTACAAACTGTTTTCCTCCATAATTAATCAAAGAATAAGTGTCACAATAGAAGCAAACCAACCAATAGAACAAGCAGGCTTTCGCAAAGGCTTTTCAACAATCGGTCATATACATATTCTAGAACAAATAATGGAAAAATACCAAGAGAATCAAAGAACGCTCTACATCGCATATATCGATTACAAAAAAGCTTTTGATACCGTGTCACATTCAAGCATATGGACAGCCCTGCAAGCTCAAAAAGTTGAACAAGAGTATATAGATATAATCAGAAACATTTACAAAGGTAGCACAGCAAAAATAAACCTAGAATCCACTGGTCCTACGTTCTCCATCGGAAGAGGCGTGAAACAAGGCGACCCGCTGTCTCCAAAATTATTTATATCTATCCTAGAGTCAATAATAAAAAGATTCAACTGGGAAAAGACAGGATTAAACATCAATGGCAATTATTTATCCCACCTACGCTTCGCAGATGACTTAGTTCTGCTGTCAGAATCTAGCACACAATTACAAAACATGATCGATTCACTAAACACAGCTAGCAAGCAGGTAGGACTAGAAATTAATCTTTCGAAAACAATGGTCATGACAAATAGTATACAGAGAAGAATATCAGTGGACAATGAAACTGAAAAATACAGAGAAATACATATACCTTGGAAAACAAATTGGCTTCAACATAAAACAAAATGAACTAGAAGTAGAACGAAGAGTACAAATTACTTGGAACAAGTACTGGTCCTTAAAAGAGATATTCAAAAGTAACATGCCAACAAATATCAAAACAAAAATCATAATGTCATGCCTCCTACTTTGTCTAACCTACGCATGTCAAACTTGGAAATTTACATCCAAATTAAAAACCAAAATCACTATATCACACATCACACACACACTATACACAAATCACCTACCTACGCGGAATAGAACGAAGTATGCTCAAAAAATTCGTCACACAAAAATTAGAGAAACCACCAAAGCGACGGATGCTCTAACCTACGCTAAAAAACTAAAATGGAAGTGGACTGGACACGTAGCGAGGCTCAAGGACGAGAGATGAACCTCCAGGGTAACAACGTGGAAGGGTCCAATCGGCAAACGTCTCAAAGGCAGACCCCACACGAGATGGGCAGACGATTTGATAAAAACAGCTGGTACCTGCTGGCCGCAAATAGCTCAAGATAGAGACACATGGAATTCTTTAGAGGAGGCCTTCACCTTCACTTGAGGAGTTATTCATGCAAACAAACTTCTATATTATTATCCAGATTTGAACATTTTTTTAAACATTTCTTTTTCATTTTGCTTTTTTCTCTAAACTATAAACTATGTATGTATCTCATTTTTAGCATAAAATAAAAGGCTTATTATTACCAGCCGAATGCTCAGGTCAGTCAGATAGGATCAAACGCAGTCCAAAAGAAGAATTATGGTTTAGCGTGTAAATATCTCACTGTAGGCTATCTCCGAATACTAATTGAAATACACGGTTCATTAAGTCCAAGGCGAAAGCAGCCACAAGGAAACTAGATGACCATGCAAGGGTTCAGTGATACTTCACTCCGGGGCAGCTTCTAATCGTATATAAAGCGCAAGTCCAGTCGTGTATGGAGCACTGTTATCACGTATGGGCTGGTACAGCAAAAGGCCGCTTTAGCAGCGTTGGACTCAGTGGCGAGGTGAGCTTAGAGGCTTATGGTAAACTTGATTTGGTTTAAACCAATCTTGTCAGCCTCAAAGACAGGCGCAATAAAAAAAAAATTTCGAATTTAAGCAAAATAGCAAATATCAAAAATTGTATAAGTATTCAAATTCAGTTGAGTTAACTCTTACAAAATAATGTAGTGGATGTAGTCGTATACGTTGTAGTAGTATTATGATGTAGTCGTGTATATAGCGGTTGGTGCAAATAGTGGGTTAACAAAAAAAAATCTAACTTTATTTAAGAGATATAAACTTACCAGTAGCAGTATCTCCAATATTCCTCTTCACCAGTGTGACACTTTTGAGCAATGCGTTGCTTAAAGCCGTTGACGTTGGCGTTTGGCTCATCGACTGACTGGGAATCGATATCCCGCTTGATATCACCTGCACACCACTAGTGGAGGTGGGCGAGTTCATTATCGACGCTATCGCGTTGTCCAGCGCAGCCTGTGTCGATAGATTAGGAGTGTTGAGCGATATGCCCTGGACACTGTTGGTCAAATTTTGGGTACTGGTCGTGGTTTGCACTGGATGCGGTGAGCTGGGCACTTGGTTGGGTAGGCTCGTTTTGTTGACGGTCGTAAACGCTGTCCATTGTCTGTGGTTGTCGCCTGCAATAAACAAAGCACATTCTAATAGATTCATTCCCGTATTTAATATTTATAACTGATTTACCATTTACATGTCGAAAATTGATATTCATACAATTTTAAAACAAATGCGAGAAGTTAAGCTTTGAAACATGGTTTTACTGCCATAATAATCAAGGAAAACTTGTATTCATATAAATTAAATTTTATCATTATATATTTCTTTCAACTTGATTCACAGATAAAAGGAAAGACTAAAATTAAATTACTTTTGTAGGTAAAGTTCTATGAATACCTATACAACCTTAGTGAGATATTTAATAACCATTTCATCAACGTACCTGTGTCTACATGCGTAGACTTGAACGCGCCACCTGTGGGCTGGAACACTTTGGAGCCACCGGGACTGGAAGCCGTGATGCCGCCCAGCAGGTTATCCGACGAACCCGCCCTAAAGATACTGATTTCGATTAATTTTATATATTTTATGAATATTTAGGAGTATATATTCAGTTGATTAGTCGGTATTATATAAAAATAATACTCAAAGTATATTATATATACACAAAGTATGATGGTATAACAAATAATGACGATTTTCAGTTTAAGCCGAAACCGAACGGATTAAACAATCCAACCGTCTTACATTCTCATTCATTAGAATTTTAAACGTGGTAGAGCCAAGCTGCATCTATATTAATTGTATAGTTGTAGCACGAATGTATCGGCTCGACCGGGGTAGGACCACGCTCTTACAAAATACCAGCATAAAATAGCAGCTTAATGGTGCTGTGTTTCGTATAGTGAGTGTAGAGAACCGGAGACCCTTTTTACTGAAAAAGAGGCATTCCATCTTAGTCCTCACGGCTGACAATGCATCTGCATTTTGATTCGCAAACGAGGATAGATGCAGATATCTATGGACCACAGCAAGAACTAACTATCAGGTGGACTGTGTGCTCGCTTCACCCTTATCCTATAAAAAAAATTACATCGGGTATGGGAAGGATAAGAAAAACGGGTGTCCCCGCCAATTTTTTTATATATATTTGCTGAATGATGGGGTGATTTGCCAGGTGATCACCGGATGTTATCATCTCCCTTAGGTCTAGTAAGAGGTAGCTTTGAGAAATATGAAAAAGATCGTATGGCTTCCAATAGATGACACCTTGTTTACGCCAGGCGTAAAATAACTCTACCAGCGACGAGCAGGCAGCAACGTTAAAGGTGGGAGACGTCAGCTATCGTTAATCCGCCTACCAAGCATCAATGTCTTAAAACGGGAGAGGCTGACGTCCGACAGTTGACTTTTACAGGTTTATTATGAAGAAGGTTAAAATATAAAACAATATTACAAGTTTATCTTAAATACTAATAATCCATTCATAGTCTCTCCCATAAAAAACTAAAACTCTGTCTGCAAAGTTAACATGCCAGCTCTGACTCACAATGAATTAAGTGGTATGCAATATGACAATTTGCCACCATTATTGTAAGTTGTCAAATGATCAGGACATAATATTATTACAGAGCTGAAAGGGTACATACAAATACAATCAACTGAAGGCGGAAAATGCATCGAAAAGTCAACCAAAGTTTTACAGACGGGCTATGTGCAGAAGAAAAATCAGTGCAAGGATATGTGTGCTCTCATCAACCCGCCAAATATTTATTATAAAATGTATCAGTTTTGAAAAGGCCTATTCTTCTGCTTACATTTTTGATCCCTAAACTTCAAAAAATGAAGTTATCAGATGGTGATGACACCAGGAATTTCTTCGGTTTAGAGGATCCGGAACAATAATCATCATCATGAGCCTTGGCGCTTGACAGACGGATTGGAAATCGCAGTACCAGACGTCTTTCATCTGTGGCGCTGCTTTCCGTCACCGGTTTGGGTATTTTACGTTTGTCGTAAACTAGATGATTATACCGCCATTTATTTCATTACATACATTTACCAAAGTCGACTTTTAAGACCCGTGGAAAAACAATGGCGTGATGACTTAACATAGTGTCTTCAAAATATTTTTGTAATTCTTCTCAGGTATGCAGGTTTCTTCAAGATAGTTTCATTCACCGACGAGCATATAACAAATCAGCACTTAATCCTTCCCTTGTCCCGTGCATCATATATGAACATTTAAATTGTTTAACTATTGAGTCTGTTTCAAGGACAGAGAAATATATATAAACATAATTGTATTTAACAATTTTATTGGTGCGTCGGGGATCGAGCCCCGATTGCTCGCATACTGTGATATTAACAGCGAGCGCTTAGCCACTGAGCTAGCACGGGTCATACGGTGAGGGTGTGTAAGGCACACAACATTAATTAGTACCTGGCCTTGATGGGCTTGGGGCGGCGGGTGTGGTCGAGCTGCGGCACGTAGTCGCGCGCGTCCGCGCCCTCGGAGTCCGAGTCCGTCACCCGCTCGCCGCACTTCAGCTCCATCTCGCCCGCCCCGCCCACCACGCCCGCCCCGCTCGCTGCACCTTGCCCACTTGCCACCTCCTCCGACATCGCTTGCCCCATCTGGAAACGTAAGCCTTATAGTTTTACCTAAGTTATTAGAATTAAATCATAGGTATGGAGTGTAGAGTAGAAGGAGGACCATCTCTGTATATGAAAAGTGTCCCTAAAAACGTGCCCAATAAGGGTGGCGCTGCAGTAGCATAGGGTAAATTAAAAAAGCGTCAAAATTAATTAGAATAAGATGGAAAAATAAACAAGGACCGACCAATCCGCTTGGTTTTGTACTACATAAATAGTTGAGGTTTTGTATATTGGCATTTTACCAACTACTCTAGTCATGAATTTTTTTAAATATTTGAATTCAGCTGACTTCACTCCTCTTGCAACAGCTATATTCATATCGTAGTTTTTCAGACGCCAGCGCTATTGTTGTAGGTTTTGGAACCTCAATTTTCAATATATAGTTGGACACTTTTTCAACTTTTGCACCTTATAACATGGTTCTCTTTCTACTCTACACTCCATAATCATAGGGAAAATAAGTAATAATATCATTTTTTTCTTTCTTTCTAAATATAAAGGAGTATTGCTGCTTTAGACATAGACAAAAAAGAAGGAAAAAATTGAAAAGTATTTTTTCTGTTCTGCTGTGCTATGAATAAGTTTGACAGGTCAAAGAACAATGGCAAACTTTCATACATAAAATTAGTTTGAAGGAATGGTAGCGTCTATAGATCAAAAATATCTTAAAATGTCAAGCGTCAGTGCCTGAATAACTTTGTCAAAGAATTTTTTCCTGCGAAGGCGCCAAAAAAAGATATTTAGATTTGAACCTTGTCTTATGTCACTTGGAAAAAGTCATGCGTCCTGTAGTTGTTAGATGTTAACTTAATACATTCTCAACATAATGTACCTACCTACATAATTGAGAGTTTATAGATTATTGTATCTCTATTATATATTTAAATACTCTAAATGTATATTTCTGGCATGGCTCCAGGGCCTTTGTGTCATACAGTGACATTCTCAGAAAGGCTAGAACCCAGAGCCGTAAAGCCAGTTAAAGAAAACTGACATTTTGTTTTGGCTAGTGTTGCCATAACATTGAATAAAATTGTTACATAGTACTATTATTGATATTATGTATTATTGTAGAAAGTTCTTTATAAGAGACTTATTTTCAACCATAGCACTTTTATTTTTATTATTACTGATAGTATACTTATAACTAATAATAACTATATAAAATATTTTGGGTTTGTGTGTTGTGTTGGTAGTGTAACAAAGTGTATACGAAATTAGTATGAATGTAGCAAATGGCAACACTTGAATAGTGCAAAAGGATTAAAGTCATTTGATATTGTCAAAAATATATATTGTTTTTTTCTGTGGCTTTAATTAAAATACATTTTTATTTGAAAAATCATAGAAAAATAATTAAACTCATTTTATGTATAAGTTATTTCTAGATCATTTTTGTTAACTATTTTCTGCCATTGTTCTTTCTATAACTCGTGTGTACTCAGAGGAACCGAATTTGAGAACTAAACAAGAAAGGAAGAAATTCAATTCAATTCAATTCGTTTATTGCGAATATAGGTTGATACAGTTGGTGTTTACATAGTTTATCACTTATAGAACAAACATTTAGTACAGCTATATTCCGCCATTTGGCATGCAATGTCCATCACATTTTATTAAAAAAAAATTTTATTAAAGGCATAAATTGATTTAGAATTGTGTGTTGTTAGGCGAACAAGTGGTAAAATTAAAAATTTTATACAACCGACTTCAATACAAATTATTCAGGATAACTCAAAAATTACTGGTTAGACCTTGATCAATGGGACCCCAATTTACATGGGACCACATGAGAAAAACCACCTTTCAAATAAAAAAGAATCATCAAAATCGGTTCGCGTGCAAAAAAGTTATGAGATATACACATAAAAAATACAATCGAATTGTGTACATCCCCCTTGTTGAAGTCTATTAAAACGGGGATAGAAAAGGAGAAAATGTTGATAAAATAGTCGACCACTATCACCATCAAGTAAAATACTTGTCATATTTACACTATATATAAAATAGATATTAATTCAATCAGCAATGAACCCTTTAGATAACTATTGTTTAGGCCCAAAAAAGGTAATCTGTACGCTATCCAATCACGTTCGACTTCGTGAATCGGCCGATGGTACCAGGTGTCACGCGTGTCGCGGGGAGGGAGCAGCGGTATGGAGCTTGCGGGCGTTTGGCGCTGGTGGGCGAGAGGCAGTAGCTCGCTGGAAGCCGTTCAGTTAATTAGCATACCTCGGTTGCCGCTGCCGAGGTTTCGCGCGACCGATTTTGGGGTTACGGTCTCGATTTTTAGAATTTGTGCGCGTAACTTCGCTACGTAATTGTGTTTCGTAAAAACCACCTCGATTTAGGTTGTCTAGGGTTTAAGTTCTTGATAAGAGGCTTGTATTGTATTTGACTGATTAAAGTAACTTCTTTGAAAGTAATTGTGCAAATTAGATAGTGAATGCGTGTTGAAGTGCATTTTGTAATATTTAACTTGTTCGGGTGACGTGGAATTTTGCGCGCGCGCCGATTAGTGATACGGTTTAGAATTTGGACAGCGCAGTCCTTTATCGAGGGCGTCTCCCTGTTGATTGTTTGGAAATCATCATTGCAATTGTGCCGTCACGTTAAGTGCCCTTTTTTGTGTATTGACTGTTTTGTTCGTTTTACGTATCAACGAGGCGGATTTTGAATTCTTATCGCGGCCTAGTATTTAGTATCGAACGAAGGAACTTAGTTGTGTTTAACGCCGAACCGTGTGACTCATGAACAGATCGCGTTAGTTCCCTATTTGTAATTTGGTGATAAATGAATCCGGGACATTGAATGTTGAACTTTGAACTACTGTCCGTTACTGTGTCGGGTATCACGTGTTCGATTCTACGATGAATGTGGAATTAGGCGAGTTTAAGTTAGTTAAATGTACAATGAAGTTAATAAACTGAAATAGTGACATGAAGAAAGAAATGGTCCAGCGGGGAAACCTGCTGGAGTGATGCAGCATTGTGGGGCAGCATGGAAATCGGCCGCTGCCGGTCACCTCAGCTGGGCCAGGTCTCGTACACATACACATCACTAAACACTACTTTCCATGCACCTTACACCCACCTACGGCCTGACCGAGCCTTGGGGCGGTCTTAGATTCGGATACAGGTACGTACTATATTTTTCTAGCCTTCTCCCTACAGTTTAGTATGATAGGACATTTTTCCAATGGCCATTTGGGCCCGACCTGCGTCTGCCCGTCGAGGAGGCTGCTATGGGCCCCAGCCAAGGCCACCTTTGCAGGGGCAGCTGCGGGCCGTAACAACTATCATTTTATATTTTCTAACGCCAAGCAAAGTTAGGTTACCCAGGTAATAAAGGAGAGGGTTAACACAGAAAAAAAAATAATTATGTCAGAAATAAACCATGAAATAATTATATTTTTTATTTTCTAACGCCAAGCAATGCTCAGTTGCTGTACTTTGTATGAGAGTGACAACAGAAGATTAACTTATATTGATTAATAAATTTTTTTACAATTTTTTTACAGCTACCGTTAATAGTGACTCAAAACTTATTCAGTTTTACGTTTTAAGTTACATTAGATTTTATCGTATACATATATGCATAAACATAAGTTTGCTTTACTACAAAACAGTATGACGTTATTATACTAGTATTTGCATACGATTTACACATGAAATGTTTTGTTTTGAGACTAATAAATGTTCATTTGGTATGATTATACGGTTAACTTACCATTTGGTCGTCGTCGCTGAGTTGCGGCGAGCCGACGTGGTTGTAGGCGGCGACGTTGAGCGGGACGTCCGCAGCGCTGGTGGCGACGCCACTGCTCGCTGCATCCGATGGCGTGCGAGGACTCTGTACACAATGTTATTTATTTTTACCTTGTTGTAATACTAAACTAAGGGTATACCAATGGTAATAATCTCTACCAGTCAACCCTATGAAAAAAGAAATTAAACATTGACAAGTATTGAATAGTTAGTAAAAGTTACAGCCTACAGCCCCACTCATAAGCACAGGCCTCTTCTTATACCATAGAGCGTTTTGGGCAAGGCAAGGAAAGGAGTATGTCTACTACGTTGCTCCAATGCATGTTGGTAAACTTGTTCGTATTTTATGCGCTGCTATACCGTTCATCAGATTGCGCTAAAACTTTGTCAACTTATTAAGGTTATAGGCATAATACAATTAACTTACAGTAGGTGGCGCGTGTATCGTACCGATAACACAACAAATATACACAACACAAGTAGATATAGCTACGACACCAGGCAAACATAATAAATGTAACATACACGAGAACAATGATTGTGTGTTTACTTATTAGTGAGTGTGCTGTTTATTAAAAAACTAAACGAAAACTTAAGGTTAATCGAATATGGAATAAACCTGCGAGCTTATAAGATATAACAGAACAATGTTCGAAATAACTTACCTGCGGCATTGAGCCCGTAGGATCTCTACTACTCGAAGACTTTCTTCTATCCTTGTTGCACCATTTCCACTCCGGATGGGCTTTGAAGTGCGCTTCTTTTACCTGACGCAAATTGTTATATTTTTATTACTAGTCTAGCAGTAACGCCACACTAGTTATTTTTTATGGACGAACAAAAAAAAAATAAAATGGAATAAGCTCAAAAAATTATGTCACATTTTTCGTTTTAGATTGAAATTTAGATTATAAATATGCAATATCTATAAACTAAATTTAGTTTATAGATATTGCATATTACAACAATCTATATGTCATATATTAATCTATCTGTTTTGTTTTTGTTTAATGAGGGCTAATAATTTTCTGCTCACCAGATGTCGCTAGCTGACACTGAGATAAAGTTTTTTTTTTTTACGCAATGTAATTTAATTGAGAAGTTTTTTTTTTTAATAAAAGTTTATCAGTTTCTAGATTATTATATTAATTCACAAAACAATGCGTCAGTGGATTGCTCTTTAATTTTTTGCACATTTTTAACTTTTCTACTTTTATGAATCTCTGTGGTATGGTTTATTTATTTTTAATGTTATTAATATAAAATATAGCTAATAGTACAGAAAGAAACAATAACCTTTATATTTTCCGTACAAATTAACTTCCCGCTATGAAATCTGTCAAATATTATACCTCACTTTCTAGTGGCGCAGCTCTGGTGGCAGAAAAAGTCGTGGATGCCATTGACGTTAAAATATTAAAGGCATGTCAATTGATTATACATACTTCGCTAGCCAGCTCATTATACTTTTGTTTCTCCTCAGGCTTTAATGAGTACCACCATTCGCCTAGTATTTTGCTGACGGTTCGGTTGTCTTGATTTGGATGTCTCTGATGCACCATTTGGCGGTGTCGTTTAGAAAATATCATGAATGCATTCATTGGACGACGGATCCGGCGTTCCTTCTGCAAATAAAACAGAATATTTCCTAAATAACCAAATATAAACTTATCTCATTAAGACAAATGTAGGTTTTTTTACTACAATATTTATTGGACGCGAAGGACCAAGAACTGTTTATCAGACCTATGATTTCAGTTTAATAATAATCAGAGTGACAGTACAAGAACAAAGAATTTTTCTTTTAATTAATAAAATATGTAAAAATTAATATAATAGTAAAATAATACTTAGAGTAGTAAAAAAAATTAAATTCGTTAAATTAAAAAAGTATTCAATCTACGACGGCGATATCCAAGGGTGAACTTTATTATTATATTCGTACATTATTACAGATTAATGCATTAATACTTTCAGATATCTACAAATAAAAATTAACAAAACTACGTACTAACAAAAGATTTTTCTTACCTTTTCAGGCCCTGACGATGTCTGGTTAAGAGACGAAAGGCTTTGCGATCGCCGCTTAGAGGCATCTTCACCTCCACCCGAACCGGAGTCCTCGCACTCGAAAACTTCATCATCCTCGTCAGCACACATCGTTGTTACGGTCTCTGTTGGAATCATACACAATGAAAACTGTAGCATATTACAAGGAGTTTTTTATTGAAAATTAATAAGCTATATAACATTAATTGCCGTGTTAGAAACAGAAACAAAAACAGAAACTTTTTTATTCAATATTGATTATAAATAATAGTTATTGAAAGTCATTCTTTTGTTTAATTATCACTGGTTCGAAAAAAAACCTCTGTCCTGGGAAGAACCAGCAAGAAACCCAGCGGGACTTTTTTTTAAATAATAGCTTACAATCATGTATGTTACACAAATTAACAACACAACGAATTAGAAATAGCTTGGTAGCGATCCCCTCATTTCAAGCGGTTATTATCATCCATAAATTTTTTAATATTATAATAACCCTTTTTATACAAACTTTAGGCTTTAAATCATAAATTGCTCTTATGGCCCTCTTCTGAAATACAAATATAATTTCAGTGTCAGCTGCGTGTCCCCATAGTAAAATACCATACGATATTATGCTATGGAAATGGCTAAAGTAAACTAGTCTAGCTGTTTCAACACTGGTAAGACTTCTAATCTTTTTTTACAGCATATGCTGCACAACTAAGTCTGTTTGCTAGTTTTGATATATGGGGGCTCCATTGAAGCTTCGCGTCTAGTGTGATTCCAAGAAAAGTGGTGGTATCTACAAGACTCAGTTTCACCCCATTTAAAATTACATTAGTATTTAATTGTTTGACATTTGGAGTCATGAATTTCATACATTTCGTTTTAGTGCCATTTAAATGCAAATTATTAACATTGAACCAATTTACTAATTTAGGTATAGCATTATTTACTTCGTCATATTTTAGTAATTGTCGACTTAATTTGAAAATTAAAGAAGTGTCATCTGCAAATAATACTATATCATGGTTATGCCCTACTATGTAAGTTAAGTCATTAATGTATACAAGAAACAGAAAGGGGCCGAGAATTGAGCCTTGAGGCACGCCCATTTGTACCATCGATCCGGAAGAGCTCATATTGTTAATGACAACTTTTTGCGTTCTCTTACTTAAATATGAAATAATTAATTTAAGGGCATCACTTCTTACACCGTAGTGTTGAAGTTTCCTGATTAATGTTTCATGGTGAACACAATCGAAGGCCTTGGATAGGTCACAAAATATACCCAAAGCATCCTGTGAATTCTCCCATGCATTAAAGATATATTTAATCAGCTCAACACCGGCATCAGTTGTCGAGCGACCCCTTGTGAAACCAAATTGATTTTTATGAAGTAAGTTATTTATATTAAAGAAATTTAACATTTGATCAAGAATAATTTTTTGAAAAATCCTACTAAGTGTTGGTAGTACAGAAATAGGTCTAAAATTGGCGGGGTCTAATGTACTACCAGATTTAAATAAACTTATTACTTTACTATGCTTTATTAAATCAGGAAACACACCAGATTCGACACTAGTATTAAAAATAATAGCTAAATATAGCGCGATTGTATCTATTATAGACGCAATAACTTTAACGGAAATCCTCCACAGATCCGCAGTTTTCTTAACATCAATAGTTTTACAATGTTTTACAATATTTTTTGATTATACTTTATGAAATGTAAAATGCTTTGTACACGCATTTACATTTTGTTTAAGTAATGATTCGGCGACGGCAGGAGAAGAATTCAGTGACTTAGTGTTAATATCGGAATATCAGTAAAATATTTCTCAAAAACCATTACAACGTCCTGATCTGATTCAGTTCATTTGTTTTTAACACTTAACTGGTAGTTTGAATTGGGAGAGTTAATCTTACTAGTTTTGCTATTAATGATACTCCATGTCATTTTAATTTTATTAGAAGCTGTCTTAATTTTGTTGCTCAAATGCAAAGACTTGGCTGTGGAGCACACTCTTTTAAATATTTCTGAATATTTTTTTACATATTCCCTAAATTCGACGCTATGATTATATGACCTTTCATGGTAAAGATCATATAACCTATGTCTTTTCTTATGGACTCCTACTGTCGCCCATTCATTGAATGACTTCCGACTGTGTAATGGGGACGTATGAAAAACTAGCTCCACATTCGCCCTGTAGCTATGGTAATGGATGATGATGATGAATCATCTTAGCGGTTTCGCAAGGTTTTGGAGAAAAGTCTCCTCAAGACAAATTGAATTAGAGCTATGTGGTCCACTTGTCTCTTTGGGAGGTCGGATATCTATAATATAATCCAAAAGAGTAATTTGTGTTTGTGGGGGGGGGGGGGGTTGGTTATTTTTTAAATGTAATATGATCTGTAGGTAATTGTTCTAAATTCACAAACAACATTACCAGTGCAAGAATATCAACTCTAAAAACATTAATTCCGAAGAAAAGTATGAAGTTCCATAAAGAATGTGAATCATGCCTTCAATAAAACCTAGTGGTGGATTTATATGTCTGTTAAAGGCTTAAAATTAAGAACTTACCACTGGTCTCGGACTTGATCTGTTCCTCGGTCTTGAGGTGCGGCGTGTGTGGTGTGTGTGGTGTGTGCGGCGTGTGCGGCGTGTGCGGCGTGCGAGGCGTGCGCGGCGTGCGCGGGGAGGCAGGCGCTTGCGCGGGGGGAGGGGACGCCGCCTTCAGCAACGGCACCAGCGACTGCCACGGGAACACGCCGCCCGATACGCCGCTCGTTGACACTGCGGATGATGCACATTTTTTATAACACATAGCAGTTCCACGATCGCGTGGCCTAATGGTCAAACTACTTGGTTCCGGATCACATCCAACCCTAACCCAACAGTCTGTGCCTGCTGCGATCAAACCAGAGTTGCTCGCGTTTTAGGGCGAGTGCTCAGCTCCTGAGCTTCATCATCAGTTGCCATCATGTGGCAACATTAATTGTTCGAAAAATACCACAATAAAGAAATATTTTTTTTATAATCAATTCAATGAGCAATAGGCATCAAAGTCTCAAACTATAGGTATTTCTATCAAGTCTATATACGGTCACGGAAGATTTATGAATGAATATTATAAGGATATATGTGGCGAAATGTACCTTGGATGTTAAGGAATTCCAAGCATTATTTTTTTTTTGTTTAAATTTGAATAAGTAAATAAACTCACCAATGATAGCGGTGTGTGATGTTGGTGGTGGCAGGACTGGAAGCAATTGACTCGGATGCACAATCACTGCGCTGTTGCTAACGTTATTTATCTGAAAACATGGTTACTTTGTAAGTGTTAAAACAAGAGAACATTTTATTTTTAATTTTAAAAAATAATTTGTTCCGCACTAGCATCAAAATAAAACTTAATGAGTATTAAATATAATCAATTAACATTTATGAACTGTGGTCTCAGCTTAAATTAACGTAAAATGTTGAATGCTACGTACATTAACAATATGTTACAAAAATATATTTGCAATAGATATGACTCACATGGTCACCATTGTCTAGACCTCCTCTAGACTCCGTCTCCTGGTCACTGTTGCTCATCTGTAACAACTGATGAGAATTCGGTTCTAACTATAAAAGTTACGTATACTGCATGCACACCCACTGCAACGTAATTATAGCAGCGCGAGATGGCGCGAGAGTGCAGAGCTATTATATTATAGCGACTTTATGACACGAACTTGATCACTCTATTAGTTAATTAAGGTTGAATCACAAGAAAAAAAGCAATTCATCTAAAAATCACATACTTGATTACAAATTATTTGTCAATCTATATATAAGTCATAATAGTCTTAGAACAGCTCCGTAATATACAATTCCTGGATATTTTTGAAGGTGATATATCTAAAAGGCAGATATAAATAGTCGATACAAAGAATGCATCTTAGCTCAAGTACTTGTTTAACAACAGCGTTATTAGGTTTAAGGGCATTTACAATGCGATAAATAAAAATTATATTTCTGTTAAGTTTTTAAGATTTATAGTTGTATGTAACATAATGTACATCTTGGATTTTCATATAAAATTATTTAGACGTAAAATGAAAGCCAGCTTAGCCATAGTCATAATTTTAACGACTAACATGTGATATAGATAGAGTATACAAATATTATATGAGTCGGTTTGAGTCTGCACGGACTACTTTCACGACGATCATAAAAGAAAGTACCTATAATATTTTGGTATATCGAGTAATATAAGTAAAACAAGTAAGAAAAATCACAAGTAGTACAAAAATATTGCAAATTAAAAAATACAACACAATAAGAGAACATACAACGGTATTATAATATCATTATTATCATCCTACACAAAAGCCCAAAAGTGATAGAAAGATAAGAAGGCCAATGATAACTTGTACTTACTTGAACAGTTTCCGTTGGCTCCTTTTTTATCAAAACGAGCTTCTTTTCTAACGAATTCTGTGGAATAACATAGAGCCTCTTAATAGAGTCCTTGGAATCTGCATCGATCATTGATATAGGACGCGCCTGTAAAGGGGCAGGTTTAATGATACGTTTATCTTCGAAAACTCGAGCCTCGGAGTGTTCTAAAGGGCGCGGGTCGATCACACCGCGACTTATTTTGCATTCGGTCTGAGGAACGGAATGATCCTCTTCCTCGTAGTCCGAGACTCGTTTATTCACAAAATTTTCATGGTTGTTCAGTGGCGACGGGACATCTTCGCGTCTATACGTTTCGTACAATCCGTTTCGGATGTGAAGTGGCTGAGTGCGGTACATATTGTGCTCTTGATCGATGCCGTTTGATGTGGGGATATTTCTATGTACGACTAGATTGTGCGGGGCTTCGTCCATCTTTGCGTTCCGGATCGAATTCGCAATGCTTGTTTGAAGGCTCTGCGAGTTTAGGCTGTTCAGGTTGAGCGATATACTGGGCTGCAGGTTTAAACTAGATTGTATGGTAGTTGGTGCGTTTAAGCTCGTTTGTACGCTTTGAATGTTCAGTCCTGTTTGTATTCCGATTACACTTGACTGGGCGCTTAGATTGTTCGTCTGTAAGTTTGTTGGTCCGTTTCTACTTTCCACCTATAAAATATAAAAGTTCTATAGAGGTTCACTTAAGGATAATCTTTATCAGTGTAATTATAGCTATAATATTTATTTTACTCGCCTGATAGTGATAAGTGGGCGCCGGTGATACTCTAATGACACTCGTGGCTACACTACTCATTGGTGAACTAACTCTACCCGGCCGGACTAGTTCTGGTCTAGAAAAATAAAGTTTCAAAATTATTTGTGATACACATTATTAAAAAAAGAGATTTTTTAATAGATGTGACAAACGAGGAAACTGTTCACCCAATTGTAAGCGAATATAGTCTTCCATAGAAACCGATATCTATTCCCAACTAAGAATCAAAATGCAGGATGCAATGCCAGAGACTTGTTGGGAATAATCTGACCCAATAACCAATAAATGGAGTTTTGGCACAAATATGTGTTGTATGTGTATAAGACCACACAGTCATCTATACAAATAAATAAAATCGAAGTGTTTGTTTGTATTGTCAAAATTACAACGTTTTACTAAATGCATATGAAAGTATGTACGGTACTTATAACAAAAATACAATTTTTTAAAATTTTTGTCTGTCTGTTTGTTTGTTCCGGCTAATCTCCGAAACGGCTGGACCGATTTTGACGGGACTTTAACTGGCAGATAGCTGATTTCATAAGAAGTAACTTAGGCTACTTTTATTTTAGAAAAAGAATTAGGGTTCCGCGCAAAAACATAAAAATCCTAACACGCGAGCAAAGTCGCGGGGAACAGCTAATCACCCATAAGCTTCTACCAAGTCAAGTCAAGACAGGCAAATCGAATATAGTTGCTATAACTACACAAGAGGTGATAAAATCAAGTCTCATTAGAAAGCATAGCGAATACGGCAAATATTCCCTACAATAAGAGGGTCAAAAGTCCACTTTGTCTACAGTGGACTTTTACGGGCTAATGAAGAAGCTTCTTTATATACAACGGAATTAAACTTATCTGGTTGAAATATATGTATAAGTTAAAAATACAATATATAGAAAATATAGAATCGATAATCTGTTCTATGTGTTAAAGCCGTTTAAAAAGTGTTTCTTTTTTACTTACGTGCGACATAAAATTTAAGTATTTTATATCTCTTTCATGTTATGTTTTCTCGAACTAGTTTTAGTATTAAACAACAGTGAAAGTAGTTTTTTGCATTATTTCATTCTTAACAAAGTGATGGGGCTCACTATTAGATCAAATTCCGCCACGTTTATGAGCATGTGCATCGCAACTGCGTTGCGATCGGATATACAGACAAGAAGATCTACTATGAGAGAGACTAAGAAGCAGTAGACTGTTACGACCTGGTTAAGAAATAATACTACTATTCCTTTAGTAATCTGGGTATACAGAGTTATTTTTCAAAGAGTATGCTAATTTTGTATTTCAGATCAAATATATGTATATAAATAATGATATACCGTTATGGCGGTTTTTGAAAATACGAGTAAATAAGGCTTGTACTTTTATTTGAAATCATCTCAAATTGAATGTGATTTATGGGCAACAACGACGCGCACGCGCGATGCTCTGTGTGCGATTCAATTCACGTTTTTCTCGATCTTACGAATGTGTGCGTACGTATTAAAATAGTAGGCGTTAGGTATTTATGAATGACAATCGGTTAAAACAATGCATTACCACGCATTCTAAATTTAAAAGATATAAAGGACAGAATGTTTGGATATTAGTTTTTAAGAAACTTTTCTTCACCATTCGTCTACTACTTATTCTGAACCTTCTTTGCAAATTTGGGCATATATTGCAAAATAACCCCGTATGCTTCTGGATTCGGCATAGATGTAGCAGCATTGTGAATTTGTGGCATTCTTAGCGGAGGGCTACGTGTCAACGCATTGAAGTTATATTTGCTACGTACTAAAAGAGACACCGCGACTTAGCTTACTTGTTTGCAACACGTGATAGAGTCCGCGAGCTTTAACTTACTTAGCCTAGGTTATAAGAAGGTACTTTGTGGCAATGAGGCACAGAGTGCCAATCAAGTAAATTCTCAGCCTCTAAGCTTACATGGCACATGTGTTAATTAGTGATAACTATAATAATAATGCTATAAGAACTAAAAATAATGATAAATCCACGGTGAATGAGCAAATTTTGTATCTACAATATAAAGCTAATATTGATGGGTTAGGGAATAACGTAATAATGATATGTTTCGGCATTACGTGGGAACGTTTTATAGGGTATAGTCAGCCCGGTGTATCTCGTAGTATATATGGAGGTCAGTGTATTCCAACCAGAAATTCAACTATTATATATTTTTTATATGTAGCCGTCATTTAAATAATTTTATGTTATTATTTAACGTCATGCAATTATTATTTATTTCTGGGTATTGCAGTACAGATTTTGTTCTCGATGTGTAATCTAGTACATCACAATGTGTACTAATAGACCGGCAATTCAGATCAAAAATTGTGTCACAGCTGTGGATTGCACAGGCGCAGGAGCGGGCGCCAGCTGAGCGGGAGCTGGCATGGTAAATATGCCCCGAAGTTATATTTTCATTTACGACTATTATATTACTGTTTTTAAACAAATACAAAATAAAGCTATATACTAATCTAAACTTCAAATCACGTTGACAAAGTCACATTAAAACAAATTCAGTGTTTGCGCTTTCAAAATGTAGAACCGGTCTTTTCAGCCACTCGCAGTCGACGAAAGAAGTTACGTAACTGAGTGCGCAATGTATTAGTACAATAGTGCTCGTCTGGTAGTATACACAGAAGTGTTTGTAATGAAGCTTGCGTGATGCGACGTACCTGATGAGGCTGTGGTAGTGGTGGTGCGCGTGGTGCGGGTGGTGCGGGTGCGGGTGGTGGTGCGGTGGCTGCGGCGGCTGCGGCGACGAGATGGGCACGAACACGTTGCTGCGCAGCGCCGGCGACGTACCTGATGAGGCTGTGGTAGTGGTGGTGCGCGTGGTGCGGGTGGTGCGGGTGCGGGTGGTGGTGCGGTGGCTGCGGCGGCTGCGGCGACGAGATGGGCACGAACACGTTGCTGCGCAGCGCCGGCGACGTACCTGATGAGGCTGTGGTAGTGGTGGTGCGCGTGGTGCGGGTGGTGCGGGTGCGGGTGGTGGTGCGGTGGCTGCGGCGGCTGCGGCGACGAGATGAGCACGAACACGTTGCTGCGCAGCGCCGGCGACGTACCTGATGAGGCTGTGGTAGTGGTGGTGCGCGTGGTGCGGGTGGTGCGGGTGCGGGTGGTGGTGCGGTGGCTGCGGCGGCTGCGGCGACGAGATGGGCACGAACACGTTGCTGCGCAGCGCCGGCGACGTACCTGATGAGGCTGTGGTAGTGGTGGTGCGCGTGGTGCGGGTGGTGCGGGTGCGGGTGGTGGTGCGGTGGCTGCGGCGGCTGCGGCGACGAGATGGGCACGAACACGTTGCTGCGCAGCGCCGGCGACGTACCTGATGAGGCTGTGGTAGTGGTGGTGCGCGTGGTGCGGGTGGTGCGGGTGCGGGTGGTGGTGCGGTGGCTGCGGCGGCTGCGGCGACGAGATGGGCACGAACACGTTGCTGCGCAGCGCCGGCGACGTACCTGATGAGGCTGTGGTAGTGGTGGTGCGCGTGGTGCGGGTGGTGCGGGTGCGGGTGGTGGTGCGGTGGCTGCGGCGGCTGCGGCGACGAGATGGGCACGAACACGTTGCTGCGCAGCGCCGGCGACGTACCTGATGAGGCTGTGGTAGTGGTGGTGCGCGTGGTGCGGGTGGTGCGGGTGCGGGTGGTGGTGCGGTGGCTGCGGCGGCTGCGGCGACGAGATGGGCACGAACACGTTGCTGCGCAGCGCCGGCGACGTACCTGATGAGGCTGTGGTAGTGGTGGTGCGCGTGGTGCGGGTGGTGCGGGTGCGGGTGGTGGTGCGGTGGCTGCGGCGGCTGCGGCGACGAGATGGGCACGAACACGTTGCTGCGCAGCGCCGGCGACGTACCTGATGAGGCTGTGGTAGTGGTGGTGCGCGTGGTGCGGGTGGTGCGGGTGCGGGTGGTGGTGCGGTGGCTGCGGCGGCTGCGGCGACGAGATGGGCACGAACACGTTGCTGCGCAGCGCCGGCGACGTACCTGATGAGGCTGTGGTAGTGGTGGTGCGCGTGGTGCGGGTGGTGCGGGTGCGGGTGGTGGTGCGGTGGCTGCGGCGGCTGCGGCGACGAGATGGGCACGAACACGTTGCTGCGCAGCGCCGGCGACGTACCTGATGAGGCTGTGGTAGTGGTGGTGCGCGTGGTGCGGGTAGTGCGGGTGCGGGTGGTGGTGCGGTGGCTGCGGCGGCTGCGGCGACGAGATGGGCACGAACACGTTGCTGCGCAGCGCCGGCGACGTACCTGATGAGGCTGTGGTAGTGGTGGTGCGCGTGGTGCGGGTGGTGCGGGTGCGGGTGGTGGTGCGGTGGCTGCGGCGGCTGCGGCGACGAGATGGGCACGAACACGTTGCTGCGCAGCGCCGGCGACGTACCTGATGAGGCTGTGGTAGTGGTGGTGCGCGTGGTGCGGGTGGTGCGGGTGCGGGTGGTGGTGCGGTGGCTGCGGCGGCTGCGGCGACGAGATGGGCACGAACACGTTGCTGCGCAGCGCCGGCGACGTACCTGATGAGGCTGTGGTAGTGGTGGTGCGCGTGGTGCGGGTGGTGCGGGTGCGGGTGGTGGTGCGGTGGCTGCGGCGGCTGCGGCGACGAGATGGGCACGAACACGTTGCTGCGCAGCGCCGGCGACGTACCTGATGAGGCTGTGGTAGTGGTGGTGCGCGTGGTGCGGGTGGTGCGGGTGCGGGTGGTGGTGCGGTGGCTGCGGCGGCTGCGGCGACGAGATGGGCACGAACACGTTGCTGCGCAGCGCCGGCGACGTACCTGATGAGGCTGTGGTAGTGGTGGTGCGCGTGGTGCGGGTGGTGCGGGTGCGGGTGGTGGTGCGGTGGCTGCGGCGGCTGCGGCGACGAGATGGGCACGAACACGTTGCTGCGCAGCGCCGGCGACGTACCTGATGAGGCTGTGGTAGTGGTGGTGCGCGTGGTGCGGGTGGTGCGGGTGCGGGTGGTGGTGCGGTGGCTGCGGCGGCTGCGGCGACGAGATGGGCACGAACACGTTGCTGCGCAGCGCCGGCGACGTACCTGATGAGGCTGTGGTAGTGGTGGTGCGCGTGGTGCGGGTGGTGCGGGTGCGGGTGGTGGTGCGGTGGCTGCGGCGGCTGCGGCGACGAGATGGGCACGAACACGTTGCTGCGCAGCGCCGGCGACGTACCTGATGAGGCTGTGGTAGTGGTGGTGCGCGTGGTGCGGGTAGTGCGGGTGCGGGTGGTGGTGCGGTGGCTGCGGCGGCTGCGGCGACGAGATGGGCACGAACACGTTGCTGCGCAGCGCCGGCGACGTACCTGATGAGGCTGTGGTAGTGGTGGTGCGCGTGGTGCGGGTGGTGCGGGTGCGGGTGGTGGTGCGGTGGCTGCGGCGGCTGCGGCGACGAGATGAGCACGAACACGTTGCTGCGCAGCGCCGGCGACGTACCTGATGAGGCTGTGGTAGTGGTGGTGCGCGTGGTGCGGGTGGTGCGGGTGCGGGTGGTGGTGCGGTGGCTGCGGCGGCTGCGGCGACGAGATGGGCACGAACACGTTGCTGCGCAGCGCCGGCGACGACACGCCGCCCACCGGCGATGCGCCCGGGCTGCCCGACCGCGAGCTGCCCAACGACACTGACGCACATAACCATATTAATTTACCGGACCGGGTTGAACAAAATATCGTATAAAGACAAGATTTTATCGCTTGATAATGAAGGCATCCACGACGTTTTCTACTAACAAGGCGGCGCCACTTAGGAATGAGGTAAAATATTTGAATTTCTAGCGGGGGAAGTTAATTTGTTAGAAAAGTGTAGAGATATTAACCTTTCTTATCTTATATTAGCTATATTTTATATTAATTAGATTAAAACGTATAATCCAAACTGCAGATATTCCTAAAAATAAAAGAATTTGAGAGAGAGTTAAAAATGTGCAAAAAATTAAAGAATTAACCGCTGAGACGTTGTTTTAACCGATAAAATTTTCAATCTAAAGGTCTAATAATCTTTTGCTTACCGGATGTCGCTAGTTGGGATTGACGTTTGTTATTACACAATGCCATATAATTGAGAAGTTTTTAGAATATTATATATATAAATATTTGGACCTAATATACACATATATTTCAATATAATATTTTATATCATTATAATGTACGGCTTTAGTTATGACTTTTGACTGTGACATATACACAAAACAAATTTTCAGTACATGCTGTATTCTTTAATTTTTTTGCAAATTTTTAACTTCCTTCCTCGTTCATTCGTCTCGTTAGATTATTCTTTTTTTGTTTTTTTTTTATAGAATGTGGGTGAAATTCATTCTCAATTAAGAATCAAAATGCAGATGCGTTGTCACCACGGAGGACTGAGATGGAATGCCTCGTTTCCACTTTCCAATAAAAGGGGTCTCCGGATTTCTACACTCACCATACGAAACACAGCAACATTAAGCTACTATTTTACGCTGATATTCTATGAGGGCGTGGTCCTTCCCCGGTCAAGCCGACCCATCCGTGCTACAACCATAATATAGCTGCAGCGTGGCTCTACCACGTATAAAAAACAAAAATGTCGCGCTTCGCTTTCGCACACTGTACAAGCACGCCGCTGTGACGTCATCGAACTCAAGTATCATGCTCATGAAGCTAATACAAAGGGGAGACGGCATAAGCAACTGTGCACTGTGATTCTAAGTAGGTCCTGACGTCATCATAGTGGGCGTGGCTTTAGTTAGTATACTGTCAGCATTCGTCCTGTGCGCTTATGTGTTGAAAAAATCACAAATCGGTGTATTTTCGTAGTATTAAGAAGAAAAGGATGAAATGTTGTGTTTTATTGTGTAAGAACTACTCAGATAGACGCTCTGATGCTATGGATGGCGTCACATTTCATTTGTAAATATTTTTACACCTAATTCATTAAAATAGTTCTAGAAAAATCTCTGCGTCGGCTTTCAAATATAATTAAATATATTCGACACTAGATGGCGACACTTTGTGTCATGTGAACTAAAAATGTAAAGGTAGAGCTCAGTATTGGTAAAATAATCATACGAAGGTGCTGAAATTTGTTTTGCATTCAGACATAAAGAAATTTTAATCGCAAAATATCATTTTTATAGTTTATAATCATTTTGAGAACAGGCCGTATTCTCGTCAAGTAAACCTCATAAAAATGACAAAAAGACAGGGCCCTAATTAGAATTCAATTATTTTTCCCAGTAATCCAACTTTTAATATTAAATGCAGGAAATTGTACTTACGCTGATTTTTACGAAATGTTTAAGTTATATTTAAGTGCCATTCTATATGCAAAGAATCACTTAAATACAATTTAATGTTCTTAGATTGGCATTCAAAAAGTGCATTCGGATGCCTAATTTGGAATAAAATATTTATATTTTAATTGATTTGTAAATAAAATTATATTAATTATAATAATTTGTCTATTATTTGTTCTCCCTCAGAGATATTAAGTAGTATAACCCACACATAAATAATAATCCAGCCGTTTCTGCGTGAAAAAATTACACATACTTAGTGTGGAATAAGCTCAAGGAGACAGAAAGAGCACACAAAATTTCGCCTTTATAATATTAGTGAGATAAGTAGGATATTTAGTTCCAAATTAAATATCCTACTTAATATTGAACATAGAATATTTAGTTTCAAAGAGACTTTATTTTATGGATAAAATAAATATTTCTTGGTTGATTTTCACGAAATGATAAACATATTTAAAATTGTATTTAAGTGATTCTTTGCAGATAGAATGTTACTTAAATATAACTTAAACATTTCGTAAAAATCAGCCAAGTACAATTTCCTTCATTTTAATATTGAATGTTGGGTTACTGGGTAAAATAATTGAATTCTAATTGCGGCCCTGTCTTTTTGTTATTTTTATGAGGTTTACTTGACGATAGATGGTGGCCTGTTCCCAAGATTATTATGAAAACTATGAAAATATTATTTTGGCGATTAAAATTTCTTTGTCTGAATGTATTTGCTTCATAAGATAGACGCTCCGATGCTATGGATGGCATCACATTTCATTTGTAAGTAATTTTACACCTAATTTATTAAAATAGTTCTAGAAAAATCTCTTTGCGTCGGCTTTCAAATATAATTAAATATATTCCACACTAGATGGCGACACTTATGTGTCTTGTGAACTAAAAATATAAAGGTACGTAGAGCTCAGTAATGATAAAATAACCATACGAAGGTGCTGAAATTTCTTTGCATTCAGACATAAAGAAATTTTAATCGCCAAAGTGTTATTTTTAAAGTTTATAACATTTTGAGGACATGCCGCCATCTACCGTCAAGGTAGCTAAGCTACATTACAACATCGATATGGAAAGATTCGAGTAGTTTTACTATTTATCGGTAGATGTAGATAGTGTAAAGTGGGCGGGGCTTTGCATCCCCTCACCCCGCAAATTGTCACGCTTTGTTACATAGTGAAATTTAATTACAACGTCTCCTCTTTGTATTTGCTTCATGATCATGCTCATGTTCTTATGCACGAGTAGTAACTATTTCAACAATACCAGCGAGGTTCGAACTCAAGTTGCTCGCGCATACTATAGAATTTAATACGAAAACTCACCCGCTGAGTTACCTTAGATCATCGATACTATCGAATAATTTCGACAGTAGCCTAATGGCTGGGTGCGGGCCGCGAACTTGAAAAGTCGTAGGTTCGAATCCGCCATTCGACTACTATCGTGAACCACTCCTAACACAGACATTTTAAGCTTACCAGGAGTGGTTACAGGGAATATTAGCAATGTACATAGCATTGCTAGTATTTTTTCAAAAAAAATTTCGAATGATGTTCGAAGTGATAGTTAGCAGAAGTATAGTTACCAAGCATGTTGGCAGCTTCAGTCTCGTCAGGATCGAAACGACCAGCGACTCGATAATGTGGCGGCGTTGTATCGGACTCCCGTGAAGTTTCATCGCCCTCTACGCACGTACCGCTCGAGGACAGAGATTTACTACTGCTCCTAGAAAAAAAAAATATTATCAATAAGCAAATTGTTATCAATTTACTATTAAAAATATTTATAACTTTGGCCTATTTCCATTTCCCATTTATCACATATTATGAACAAAGTTACGTCAATAAATATTATGATGACGGTTTAGGCGTGAGGTGACAATTTAAGATAATTCTAACAGTGGTTGCCGTCGCACGGATAGGCTCGAACCCGGGTGGTAACACGACGTCACAGAATACCAGCGTAAAGTAGAAGTTTACTTCTGCGTCGCGGTTGGTGAGTGCAGGTAGCTGGAGGCCCGATCCCCCCCCCCCCCTTTTAACATGGTAGCGGAGTTAAATAAAACACTACCCCAGGAGGGTACATCACCCCTGGTGTCAGAAAAACCCTCGCTGAGCATCTATGCCCAAGCTACCCTCCTCTTCCTGAGCGTGGGTGCTCAGGCTGCCCCGCGTATACTTGGGGGGGGGGGCTGTTTCAAAATTTCTCTCGCGGCAAACGGAGCAATAAAACAAAGGCGACCGCTGCCACACTATCCCTGAATTTCTGCAACATCAGGGGACTTCATTCGAACCTTAACGTCGTCCACTACCAGAGAGACGGCAAAGCCTCTTTCTAATCGTACTACTCACATCTCTCCTACCCGGGGTACAAATTAGAACACTCCTTTGTGCCTCTGGCTGAGGTTTGCGTATACGTCAGAGAGGACATGTTTTCGACGCCTCGGTAGTTATAAAAGTACGGGCTTGTCCATCCTATGGCTACGCATAGGTACAGCGACGACCATCCCCGCGTCTACGGGTGCATCTACAGGTCCCATAGCGATAATGTCAAAACAGACCGAATCATCGACCACGTCCAAATGCCTGCAGATTCCGTGCTACAATAGGTCCCATTCGCAGAGATCGTTGTCCTCGGTGACTTTAACGCCCACGCTGAATGGTTTGGTTACCGTTTAACCGATCATGCGGGTAAATCTGTTTACGACTTTGCCTTGGTATATGGTCTGACATAACTGGTTACTTCGCCTGCGCGGATCCCAGATGTGGAGGATCATGCAGCTTCCCTGTTGGACCTTATGCTGACCTCTCATCCGGACGGAGATCAGGTGTTTGTCTAGTCCGGAGTGTGGTGCCCCTCACGCTCCCATCGCGATTGCGTTCTGCAGGTTTCCGCCGTCACTGATGTGGTACTTGTGCAAGGAACTTTTTATTCCATCATCTGTGGTACCTATCGGAGGCAGAACTCAGCCATAGTTTGATTGCTCCTGCAAAATTACTTCACGCCATAACCAAGAGTGCTACCGGTCCTGGGATGACGCATCGACGTCTCGGAATGCAAATACCAGCGCTCTCAAAAAGAAGTATAATTCCACCTCCTGGTCCTTCAAAAGTGTCATTACCAAGGCAAAGTCAAAGCACATCGCAGAATTGGCGGAAAACTAGTTCGACTTCCTTCGGGAACTCGTGCATTCTAGTCTCTCGCCAAGATAACTTCTGTCAACCATCTCTCCAGAACGACTCACTGGCCCATACCGCAAAGGAGAAAGCCGATCTGCTAGGCACTCCTTTTGCATCCAACTCGACTCTTGATGACAGGACTGACCATCCCCGCGGTGTGAGTGCTCCATGCAGAATGTGCTGTTTACCCAGCGCTCGGTGTGCAAACCACTCCTCTCCCTTGACGTGGTCGGGCCAATCCATTCGTGTTACAACTATACTACTAATATAAGCTGCAGCAGTTCTACCACGTATAAGCAGCCCTACCACGTATAAAGCTTTAATAGCTAAAGCTACTAATAAAGCTTTATGCACCGGCTGTGCCAATATTTCTCGGGAAAACGTCGCCGAGTACCGGAACAAACTTGTGTCTGAAGTCGAGTCTTTGTTGCACAGTCTTGGATTGGGGGCGACTAAATCTAGTCCAGAGGGGAACCTGGGCTCCAAACCTTTGCTAGAGATGACAGATCTCTAGCAAACGCTGCCAGAAAAAGCCGACTGTCGAAGCTGAAGACCGAGTGTGGCAACATCGTTTCCGGGACACCTGAGATTTTGAGTGAGATTGAGAGGTTCTATGGGCAGCTGTACACGTCATCGCAAGTGTGAGTAACGATCCAAGAACAAGTTTTATTCGACACTATTCTGTTTCGGTTGTTGTTATTCAGTCTGAGCGAGATTAGAATGGCTCCAGCACCTTAAAGACGGCAAGTCCCCGGGCGGGGATGGAATTACAGCGGAGCTTCTGAAAGCGGGTGGAAAACCGGTACTTGAATTCCTTCAGAAGCTCTTTATTTCCGTCCTCCATGGTGGCACTACACCGGATGTGTGGGGCAGAAGTGCGATGGTCTTGTTCTTCAAGAAAGGCGAGAACGCTCTCTTGAAGAACTACATACCGATTTCCCTTCTGAGCCGCGTCTATGTGCTGTCGAGTCGCTACGAATCGTCTCGCATGCAGACTCGATGACTTCCAGCCTCCCGAACAAGCCGGTTCCCGAAAAGGCTTTAACACCATAGACCACATAAGATTTTTTAGATCCCTTTGTAATAATATTGCGTCTTCTATTGAAATTATGTCTTAAGAATTTGAGATCATCGACATACACAAAAACATAAGAGTTAGTTAAATAGTCTGGGATGTTGTTAATAAAAAAGTTAAGAAGGATAGGTCCAAGATGTGATCCTTGTGGCACACTTGATATACTAATATTATCAGATCGAAAGCCGTTGACCACAACGTAAAATGTCCGAAACGCTAGATATAATGACAATCATGTTAAAAAAAGAACCAGCAAACCCATAACATGCTAGTTTATTGAGCAGGATATCATGAGGCACTTTGTCGAAAGCTTTGCTAAAATCAGTATACAGAACATCGATTTGCTGTTTACGGTCGAAGGCTTGGGCCAGGTTCTCGACAAAGCTTGTTAAATTTGTGCATGTAGACCTGGATTCAACAAATCCATGCTGATTACATTAAAATGTAAAGCTTAAAAAGCTTATCTGTAACGTTAAACTTAAAGGATGCGGTATTAACATCAACGGTGAGTACATCACTCAACTTCGATTTGCCGACGATATAGTCTTTCTGCCATAAAGATGGCAGAATCGCTGGAGAACCTAAGCACTATGCTCAATGACCTTAATAGTATCTCCCAACGGATAGGTCTTAAGATAAACATGGACAAAACAAAGGCCATGTATAACGTCTATATCACACCTATGCCGGTGGTTGTTGGGAGCACTAAGCTCGAAGTTGTAACGCCACAGTATTTCTGACGCGGCGATTTTTGACAATTTAATCATTTGTGATTGCACTCGCTCGAGAATTCCTTGGTTTGTTTAAATACGTTAGTCAATCGCGGTTGCATTGCACGCGGCAGTACTTCTGGTGCGTTGTGTTTGAGCGCGTTAGTCTTTCGAGGTTGCAATGTTCGCGACTGTATCTCCGATAAGGTGTGTTTGTATGCATTAGTTATTTGCGGTTATACTGCACCTTTGGTGAGGGGTATGCGTAGAGCCAGAGCCATGCGCAAGCGGAGTGTTTGAGGAGCGCGCAACTCCTCGCAGCGAGAGATGCCGCGAACAGAAGCCACGCCGCTGGCTCTCCTTCGTGCAGCCATCTTTCGAGCACAGCCGTCGCCACTGTTTGCCGTTGAACTTTTTGCGGATGCCCGTAGGAGTTGACACCACGTCACCTTTCTTGTACTTGTGCGGGGTCGCCGCTTGAGATCTGCAAACGATTGAGAATTTGAAATTTACAGACTAAATTACGCACGTTTTTAAAATGTTCTTAAATGATAATATTTATTATTATCTTTAGGCTCAATGCAGGATTTATATTTTTATAAGTAAGCTATTATTTTTTATATTTTTCTCACCTAGGAGTAGGAGGTTGAGATCGAGGGGTAAGACTACGTTCGAGCAGACTTGACGTGCTGCCACGACTTTGAAGACTGCTCCGTTTGCTGTTATTACATTCTGTGAAAAATACATGTTACATTAATTAAGTTTTTAATAATGTATAAATACCATTTAATACATCAGTTGGATGATGCGTCACGTTTACTCCACGAGAATGTAATAGAAATACCACTTATTTAGCGACAGCAATCACAAAGTTGTGTTAAAATAAATTTTACGATATGAGGATCTATGTATGTCCCTTGACAAATTGAAATATAAGTATTAGACCTTATGACTAGTACAAGGAAGTCCTTTCTTCCTTAAATCAATAGGTGATCACGACTGTTCTTGAAATATCGCATTATAAAAATGTTCAAACTATTTTCGTGGAATTCAAATATTGCGCGTCAGTCTGCACAAGAGATAATACTTCGCAAACGCGGCAGTGAACATAACTTCGAGAAACGTGGTAGAGTCATGCTGCAGCTATATTAGTAGTATAGTTGTAGCACGAATGTGTCGGCTCGACCGGGGAAGGACCACGCTCTCACAGAAAACCAGCGTAAAATAGCAGCTTACCGCTGCTGTGTTTCGTATGGTGAGTGTAGAGAACCCAGAGACCCATCTTACTGGAAAAGAGGCATTCCATCTTAGTCCTCACGGGTGACGACACACCTGCATTTTGATTCTTTATTGAGGATAAATGTGGATGTCTATGGGTCACAGCAACCACTTACCATTAGGTGGACTGTGTGCTCGATTGTCACCCTATCCTATAAAAAAAAACGACTTCAAGAATAAGAATATGTCTGAACGAACCTAGCACATTGCCGCATAATACATTGTATTTTCCACTTTTTGATTTTTATCAAAGTTTTTAATAAACTCGTACGTGGACGAGTTTATTAAAAATTATGTACACATCGGAATCTTTTTTATAGGCTACAAACGAGCGCAAAGTCCACCTCATTTATCCCCAATTTAGAATCCAAATGCAGATAGATTTAACAGTGGTAGAGCCACGCGGCAGCTTTTACTGTCGCACGGATGGGCCGGCTCGAACCAGGGTGGTACCACAACCTCACAGAATACCAGCGTGAAGTAGAGGTTTACCTCTGCGTTTCGCTTGGTGAGTGCAGGTGGCCGGAGGCCCTTTTTACTAGAAATGAGGCATTCCATCTTAGTCCTCACGGGTGACAACGCATCTGCATTTTGATTTGTAATAGGGGATAGATGTAGATGTCTATGGGCCGCAGCAACCACTAGCCATCAGGAGGACTGTGTGCTCGTTTGTCACCCTTATCCTATAAAAAAAAATACGTTGTCACCCCTGAGGACTGAGATGGAATACCTCGTTTCCAGTAAAAAGGGTCTCCGGTTCTCTATACTCACATACGACACACAGCAGCATTAAGCTGCTGTAGAGAGCGTAATCCTACCCCAGTCGAGCCGACCCATTATTGCTACAACCACAATATAGCTGAAGCGTAGCTCTACCGCGTAAATATCTATCTATTGAATGGTTCATATTTTAACATTATGTGTATGAACAAAGACAAAGATAAAGACAGTATTGTCAAGACCTATTAGGTTTTTTACAGAATCCGGTTCTAAAGACTAAATTCCAACTACTCTTAGTGTAAAAGAAGTAAGGGGTAAAAATTATACGACAAAAGAAACAGGCACATCAAACATCGATTAGGCACCATCGAGTATCTCCAAAATACACTTTATACACTTACCCATATGAGACGCGTCGGTGGGGAACATAATGTCCTCCCTCCTCAGCTCGTCGTCGCTCTCGCCGTAGTCGTCGAAGGCTCGCTTTCGCAGCTCGTCCATGGTGCCGTTAGCGAGCCCGCCCGCCGCCACGGCACCCGCCATCGGCGACGACGTATAGAAGTGGTCCCCGCCGATCTGCATAACACGAAGTCAGAGTGGAAGTTGATGGAGACGCAAGGAAGGAAGAGGAGTTGCAAACGCAATTAATATGACAAGAGAGAGAGAATTGTATAGACGATCTAAAAGACCAACATCCTGCTGTTTGTGAATATGTTCAGGATCAAACCCCACCCGCAAAATTTAAACCACAAATATAGCAAAAGAATACCGATTTGTACAATGGATGATTCATGAGGCTAATGAAATTAAAGTTAAGCTTTTTCTCAATTTTGAAAGGGTTATAGAGCAATTAAAACATCCTAATTTCAAAAGTAAAAGGTCTACTATGTGCTTGGGGGTCATATATATGACTTTAGTCGACGAAACACCAAAAGAATTTTAAGGTATTTATTGTGGTTATTCTTAGTGTCCCATCACTGGGTAACGTTAGGTTCAAACGCTTTAACTAAAATATCACGAAATACGAGTAAATAAGTAAGTTTCAACATTTAATAATGCCTTAAAACTCTAGTATATCGAGTAAATGATGTCCTTGTTAATTGAAATATTTGCAGAATATAGAAGTACTAACATTTATAACAATAATTTATAACATATAGCTCGAAGAACCGACAACCGATGGGGAAGAAAGGTTCTCGAGTGGCAGCCTCGTACCGGCAGGCGAAGTGTAGTGCGTCCCCCCTCTAGTAGAGTGACGACCTGGTAAGGCATGCAGGAAGTCAACGGATGCAGGTGGCTCGGGATTGTGCTTTGTGTCATTCCTTGGGGGAGGCCTATGTTTAGCAGTGGACCTGTGATGGGCTGTAATGATGATGATGAAGATGATGATAACGATTTACAACAATATGATTAAATTGTTTTGAGGCAATACAATTATCTCAAACGTTGCTATTTATTTCATATAATACATATTTTGTAATCCGAACATAATATCTTCAAGATATCATTTGCATACAAGTCCAAAAAAATAAAATCATATTTATATATCTATAATATATATGTCTAACCCTTCAAACAGGAATCTAGACATTTTGCTATAACTGGTAGTAAGGACAGCTTATAACCACCGACGCCCTTACCTTATTGCATCCACATAATCTATTAATTGATTACACAAAGTTTTGTAGGTAGGTCATCGCTAAAATACACTGATTGCTTTGTATCGAACTAACTGATGAGAAATCTCGACTTAAATCTTCAAAATCATTATCAAATATTATGGCCTCCCAAAAAAATATCATCAAACACATTTTTACAATCAAAATAATATCATAAGATTAGCTGCAGTATGATTTTGTAACTGTGGTGGGAATTGTGGTTGGTTTCGTTTTAACGTTTAACATGTGGTTTCGTTGTACTGTGTAAATGTATCAGTATCAATTATAAACTGGTATCTTTTTACCTAACTGAAAGTATGTATGTATATATGTATGTATGTTTATTTCTTTGGCACGCTCTGTAGCCTGACGTAACTGCAGCTTGATGGATATTAACTTAAGGGATGTCGTTAGATTCGTCTACTAAACTTTTTTACGCAGTCGAGTTTTTATAATTAATGTTTAAACATTTAAGCTTATTTTATCTGAACATCTTATTTTAAGTTACAAAGTGTTAATATAATTTATTTTTAAATCAGCGAACATGTTGCGGCGTGATACCAACAATTCTCACCAGAGGAGGATCACACTGTCTCAGCGCGGCACGTACCTGCGTGGGCGGGTGGTGGGCGCGCAGTATCTGCGGGTACATGGCGGCGGCGGCGTGCGAGTCCGCGTCCTCCAGTTCGTCGGCCCAAGGCGGCTGCAGCAGCCTTATGTCCGCTCGCTTCACCTCCACTGTGTCCTTACATAGCTCGCCGTCCGATACCTATACAAACAAATACATTACACAAACAAACATTTGGAATTTAAACATAATACTTATTAATACCAGTTGCAAACACAATAATAATATGTACTTAGCTACATACAAAATAAATTGATATTATACAAAATGATGACAGATTGTAGCAAAAAGTATTCCTCGCCATAATCTATACATATAAACTAGCCTAGATAACATCCGGCATTGCTCTCATCTCATCTGGTATTTATTCGAAAAACTTGGTAAAATAAGTAAAATAAATGGTCTTTGACTATCTTAAATCTAAATATCGCCACATAAATAGATCCTATACCCAGGAGAAACCGAGGCGGATCGCTAGTATTATATAAATATGAAAATTTATGGATAGGGAGATTAATACACGTATACACAATACATATACAGGGATAATTATTAATTACTTGACCTCACTTCCATATCAAATAAAATAACTGATTGCATTTCCTCAAAGGAAAAGTTTTCTTATACGAGTAATATATGAAATTATTTAAAAATCATTAAAATCTGGTCCAGAGTAACATACGTTAGGCTAAGTAGGTAATATATCTAATATTACCTACTTAGCTCAATAACAGCATACAGAAATTCAAAAATTAATAAATAAAAAGCTTAGATGTTTAGAAGCATTGTAACCCAATGACGAATTTTTGATTGCATATACTCGTAATCTAGAGTAAGCATTGGGTTCGCAGTAAGTTTACACCGTATGCTAGCAACTAGGGTTCGATCCCACAGGCACCAATCAAATGAAACGACTAATTGGTTGATTGTAATTTTAATTGCTGATTTACGTAACGTGCTCGGTGACGAAGGAAAACAATGTGAGAGAGAAACTGGCATGGGTCAGGAATAAAAATATTTCAGTCATGTCTACTCCGCCTACACTAATTCCTTCAATAATTGCTACATAACCTTCTCAGGAATAAGATGACCGTGTCCAGCAATGGGACGTATATACAGCCTACATACACCATTACCGTTACAGCCTATTAAAGTCACACACACAACTTTACTTTTTACGTTGTAATGTTTGTTTATTGTAGGTTGTTTTGAATAATGACACTTAATGGGTTGGTTTTCACTATATGCATCCTGACCTTGCATAATTAAAAAAAATATTGATACACTTAATTAACTTATCCTACGATGAAAAATATAATTAGCTTATTTTATACCATAATAAAAACAAATACTAAAACACAAACAATAGTCAAATTATATCATCAAATTCATAAAAACATCTTTTTGAATAATTTATATCTAATATCTTCTATGTAATTTTGTTAGCTTTAGGAAATAGGAATATACGCTTATTCGGAACGAATTTTTGTGTGAGCATATTTGCTGTTTGTATAGTCATGATCATTGGATAATTATCAAATTTAAATATTATATTACTATTCTAATTTTTGACTCTGATTGTTATGGCAGATGGGCTAATATCCCGTAAGTTTTAATAATTATATTTATCATCACGTCAATAAATAAATAACCATATCAGTGATTTTACATAAATCTAGAACCGATTAGCTGATACCAGAAGAACAATTTAAGTCAATCTTATGCCCGCTTCTACACTTAGTCCGCGAAACACGCGCGATGTGCCAGCAACAAAACGCCTCGAAATAAGCAATAACTCCACACTCTCATGGTTTCACATAAAATTCACACATTGGTTCACACGTTGAAGGCGATGGACGTCGAAGTAGCTATCGCTACGTAGCTTAACGCAGCGCAGCGGACATTTCCTTGCCCTAAAACCCTCTCAGAAATGAGAAGAGGCCTGTAAGGCCTGCAACTTTATTTTTTTATGTATATATATTGTTGTATTTCGATTGATGGTTAGCATCCTGGGACCTAAGATGGAATACCTCATAGCTTGTAATTATATTAGCTCTCTATATCCTACAGAAATAGGAATAGTAATAGGATAGTGCGCAATTCCCGCAATAAGTGTGGAGCGGGCATTAGTGATTTACAGTGGGTACAAAAACGTACAGTACAAGTGTACAAGTACGTAACAGGTTTTGAAGAGAAATCTGCCCCGCCAGACAAAAAGTAAAACATTTTATAGGAATGTTAAAAAAAATAAAAGAAATTATTAAAAAGTACACCGCCTCTATAGGCGGAGTACTTTTTAATAATTCCTTTTCTCACTATTGATAATAATTGCGGGACGGTCGTACAAGAGACGCATTTCCTATCTCGTCGAAAAAAAGCAGTCGAGTCAGCGACTATATCACTATAATTTCACTGCGAATTATTACTGCATCGCCCGCGCTTTGAACCCGTTACGACTTTTATGTGGTCGTCTTCCTTAAAAATTTAAAAAATTATAACAATCAATGAGGGCTGATAATTTTCTGCTCAACAGATGTCGCTAGTTGACACTGAGGTAAATCTTTTTGTTACACAATTTCATTTTTTGACGTGGTAGAGCCATTCTGCAGCTATATTAGTAGTATAGTTGTAGCACGAATGGGTCGACTCGACTGGGGAAGGACTGGCTCTCAAAGAATACCAACGTAAAATGGCAGCTTGACACTGCTGTGTTTCGTATGGTGAGTGTAGAGAACCGGATACCCCTTTTACTGAAAAAGAGGCATTCATTTTAGTCCTCACGGGTGACGACGCATCTGCATTTTGATTCTTTATTGAGGATAAATGTAGATGTCTATGGGTCACAGCAACCACTTACCATCAGATGGACTGTGTGCTCGTTTGTCAACCTATTCTATAAAAAAAAATTTATTGAGAAGTTATTTTTTAATAAAAGTTTATCAGTTTCATAAGTATTATATTAATACACCAAAACAATGCCTCAGTGGTTTGCTCTTTTTAAATTTTTACTACTTTTATTAATAACTGTGGTTTGGTTTATTTATTTTTAATCTTCTTAATATAAAATATAGCTAATACCACAGAAAGAAACATCAATCTTTACATTTTCCGAACAAATTAACTTCCCTGCTATGATATCTGTTAAATATTATACCTCACTTTGAAGTGGCGCCGCCCTAGTGGCAGAAAAGGTGGATACTCTCATTGGTCATGTTTTTCTGACATATTGATAAACAAACACTTATTTCAAATGTATACGATTAACACTCACCCTGACTCTTATTCTAATAGGCGAATTGTGCACTTCGAACACGAGTCCTTCAATGAATATGTTCTGCAGACTCTCCCTTGTCGGATCCGCAGTCCGGACTACACATGCAGATCCGATTTGCAGATGACTTAGCTGCGGACTTGCATCACTAATCACATCGTATTTGTTAGCACCGAACACATCACTATACTCCACTGGTTCGTTCTCCTGGCCGTCCAGCTCTACGATCACTTTACAGCCTTCCGCCTGCCGTATCACCCCCGGGACGTATAAACCTCGTTGTTTCGCTAAGACCCTATGATCCCGCCACTCTGATAGGTCGATGTTTGGATAGATGGAAAACGGTTTGATCTCAGCTGGAGGCGGCGAGCGTTGGACTATCGGCGATGGTAGCACTGTCGTCGTATAGCTGGGCGCTGAAACGGCGACGTTAGACACGCAATTTCGTTCTATATCTTCAAATTCGGAAGGGTCAAATTTCCGTTTCTTTGGCAGATTTCTTGGCACGGGTGCTGTCGTTGTTTGTTGACCCGACGCCTGGCCATTGTTGGTGCTGCTAGCATTGCCGGGGTTAGTCGGATTTGCCATGGTTATGTTTGGGGTTGGATTGGTCGTCGACTGAGATAAACTAACTGTTCCAACGCTGCTGATCACAGAAGCTGGTATCTGCGGGTATATAAGAAACATCGTAAGAAAATACACATATATAATGTAGAGCGCTCTATCTTCGGCATACTGAACTTTTTTTATTACTTTAAATGCTGGCTTACCATGTGCTCGGCGCCCAAGTTAATATCGTAAGAAAACTGCATGCCCAAAAAATAAGAATATTTGAAAAATGTGCTTGGAAAAGTCCGTCAATATCACAATAACGAGTAAAACCTAGTTCCCAGTAGTGAATCGTTTATAGGCAGTCAATTTCTTTTACTTTAATGTATGAAATTTATAATGAGCTCATAGACGATACTCTCGCACTGTGAGTGCTGCTCCTCATCTCCAGTACAGTAAAGATATCTATATCTAGCTAGCAGCAAATAATAAATAATAGTAGGTACAAGCCAGCAGTATCTCAACCAGCCCTCTTTCGAGATAATTATCTACGATTTATTGGAGCGTTAGGGTTGTCACTCTTAATTTTCGTAATTTGAAAAGTTTTCTTGTTTTTATCAAAACATTTAATTACGTTCTATGTTCTCAAATAACCGAATGACATTTCATAAGAAAAATACAGCGAAACTAACGAAACTACTCGTTTTAATAGGGTATAATAATAACGGTTATTTTACATTATTGAGTGAAAAATATTTACGTCATCTGCGAGATGTCCGGATTATTAAATTCTGTAACACGAAAAATTCTTATCTTGCTTGTACTTGATGTTGTTGCAGCGCGTGCCGTGTGAGTGCATCGGCTGCGGGTTACTGCTTAACTTTATATTTAACTATGTCTTCGATTCATGAAATTTGGTTTCAACATTTTTGATGGATTTTTCGCAATTAATCTGTCACTAGACACGCGTTTGTGAATCAGGTGGGTGCTCTGCGTGCGCAGGTGAGACTGACATATTCCAACTTGCAACTCACTAATATAGCAGGCTGCACAGCCACCCAGCACAATACACCAGGCTGGTGAATGTGGCAACCTAGGAATCAGGGCATATCATACAATGGGGGAGTCCCATGTCTGTTACTGTTAGTTACAGTCACCTATGTTCATACTTTTGATGGGTTACAACCCATCAAAAGTATGAACATAGGACTCCCCCATAGATTGCTTCATAAGGGAAATATTTGCCTTATTTACCGCGCATGGCCAGCGGGTTGGCAACCATATTTTTTTATTGTTATTTGAAAGACGCTAATGCCCATCTTCTGCTTTGTTCCCCTTTATCACCTCTTATGATACCCACGGGAAAATATGGGGTAGTGGATATTCTTACGTCGCCACTACAAGATGAAGTGAACTGTAGTGGAGTGGACTGATAATCCTGAAGTAGAATACAGCACCTGATCATCAATGTCTGCATAGAATGCATGCGCGTGCGAGCGGTAGTGCTGGTGTGTGGGGCCGGCCGTCTGCGGCAGTGGGGCGCCGCCCGCTTGAGTGCGCTGCATCACCGCCTGCCGCTACCGCGGATCACTCATTGCCAGCGACTACCTGAAATAACCAAAGCACATCGTTATTACCTTTGTAAGCCACTAGCTGGCTCGGCAGACGTGTTTCCGGTAGGTAGCAAGATGAGTTACACTCCGAATTCATTTCGGACTATCAACATAATTTTTCAGATGATTCAGATATTTATAATTTGTTTTATTTGTTCAATTATTGTTGATTTATTCGTTCATACAAATATTGTAAAAATAATAAATAAATTATATATATATATATATACACATTGCGATTTTTTGCGATTGCGGATCCCATTTCTAAACACACAAATTATACTGTAAGTACAGGTATCTTAGAACGAGTGCCTTTGATTTTGCACGTGTACTCGAACTACTTAAATATAATTAATATTCTCCAGTAGTATGTAAAATTGTCGTCCTTGTCGAAATTTATGAGGGGCCATCTTATCGTAACGTATTTTTTTCTAAAAATAACTAGCAGTGAAATTAAAATATATAATGTCCTTCATTTTTTTTATAGAAATAGGGTGACAAACGAGCACTCAGTCCACCTGATGGTAAGTGGTTGCTGTGGCCCATAGACATCTACATCTATCCTCGTTTACGATTCAAAATGCATATGTGTTGTCAGCCTTGAGTGCTAAGATGGAATGCTTCTTTTCCAGTATAAAGGGTCTCCAGTTCTCTACACTCACCATACGAAACACACCAGCATTAAGCTGCTATTTTACGCTGGTATTGCGCGGCGAACCGACTCATTCGTGCTACTATACTATAAATATAGCTGCAGCTTGGCTCTACCACGTAAACAAATTCATGTGGAATTTCGGTCACGGCGGCCATTCACAACGGAAACTAAGTCATCTGCGCAGAACGGAATTACAGTGCAAGCACACACACACACACACACACACACACACACACAGGTACACTCTGTTCCTTCAACATACAGGTACATTCTGTTCCTTCGGAACGGAAATCCGACACGACCGGAGAGAGATCAGACGCAGGAGCAACCAATTTAAGTGCACGGAGTGTAACACCGCTAACTTACTGACTCCGGGTTTCGAACTCTTACTGAGAATTTTTTGACAGGAAAACCGTTTATTTTTATTTTTAGTCGTTATTAGGAAGACGCTGCGAACCATCTCCTGATTGGTTTCTCTCTGCCGCCTCTTACGACACCCACAGAATGATATGGCGTGTGGATATTCTCAACGCTACACGGTATAATCAAAACATTAAATAATACAAACAATAATTATTTGTAATATTGTTCCACATTGCAATTTATTTTTAAAAAAGATATAATAGTATACTTGCACTATAAATTAATTAAAGAAAAACACGACAAACAATAGTTTGTATTGGACTAAAATTTTGCAATAAACATTGAACTATCCATAATGCTACTGAATATAGAAAATTCTCTGAGATATTGGAGCATGTTAACTGCTCGGTATACTTCGGGCCAATGCAATATAACGTGAATTCAAGTAAATCATTCGCTATCTCGTCAATAAACATACATAATGACTTTAATCGATAAACGCCAATTGATACATATAAAATATGAGCTGCACACATGTGATTACTTTGCGTTATCATTAATTTCAATCACTATGTCGGCCAAAGTGGAGTTGTTATATCTACATCTTAACGTTGGCAGAGGGGTCTTTACAATTTTAACGCTATTATTACCAGACGTTAAAAACTACATACAACAAAATTCCGAATAGAGAATTACTTTAAACAACCCTATCCCTTATACATTCTCTAAACTCTACAAATATCTTAATTACAAACTACTGTTCCATTGCATATTAATAAAATTTCCCATTTCCTCATAGGCGACTAAATGTGATATTTTCCACAGTTCTACGCTTAGCAAGCAACCGCAGTTTTTTTCTTAATATGTTGCTTCTTACGACACCTGCGGGAAGATATATGGTATAGATATACAGGGTAGTGGATTTCCTTACGCCGCCTCTACTCGACTGGAATGTGTGAAGTATTCAAATAGGGTGACACATCACCCAACCAACCAATCATTGACATTTTACATAATTATAACAACTTTATTAATAAGTATATATTTAACAATATCCCAGTTTATATCACAGACCATAAGATCAAGTAGCAGGCAATTTAAGAAGCGTAAATAAGCATTGTCATGTTTAGGAAGACATTTAATGGATGTGTAACAAAATATTTGAGGCAGGAAATTAACCAGCGACCTACCATCTGCCATCTGGCTATCAAATTTGCGCGGTGTAAAACGTGTGAAAATTATAAAATCTTTGTACTATATATACGAACTCTTTATAAAAATCTATTTTTTTTAAATAGCATGAATGAGTGCCAGGTGCATATTGTTATAGCTTTATTATTTCTATGAGTGTTTCAATGAGTGTATCAATGCACTAAAATGGCATTGTATGCCCTAAGTCCTAATCCCAATTGGTAATATTTAAGACTAACCTTTGCGACTCGTTAACAAAATTGCGATAGCGATTCAAGCCGAGGTTCGTACCTCCTTCTGAGCTTCGCGCCGCCTCGCCGACGGCAGAATCGTTGCACTCAATAGTTCGTAAGTACTCACTTACGAACCTAATCAGATGAAGCTATCAAGGCCGCAGGGCCAACAGTATACACATTCAGAAAAAAAAATATTTAAGACACAGTCAACAACGGCATAACTTTAAAGTATTATATTATTTAAAGCGTTATTGAGCCCGTTTCCTACACCATGTCTTGCAAGTTCACTGCTCGAAATACCAAAAAAAAACCTTCATTTAGAAGATTCGATGTGATATAGTCGCTGGGGATATAGTCTCGCCCTGGTATTGCTTCTCCTCAGCACTAGTCTGTGAAATTTAGGTTCTCTATTTTTGTGATTGTGGTTGGTTGTCTTACCCGAAATGTTAAAATCTTAACACGCTTTATAAATATTGCATATAAAGTAAGATTGTATTATATACTACAATATACATATGCATACAGTAAATATGCATGGCTGTATAGCAACTATACAAACCAGAAGTAATGCTTGCTGAGGCTTCCTTTCTTTAGAAAAACCCTAGGTTTATTACATAATGGAAATACATATTTCAATTTACAAGGCTCGGTAATGTTTTATAATGGCAGTACTGTGGGAATTTGATTCATTCGCTTGCAACCCGTAAGTGCACTTATGAGTGCGCCACTAATTGACTCGGTGAAGTGTGCTCTAAGTTTTCAATATACACACGACAAACTGGTTCGATGCTCAGTGCAGTGGAAGGAAGATAATTGGTGTATGTTATCAGATTATAGTTTCTATATGAATCACCTATAACATATCAATATGTAATTGATAGTTAGGGTGCTTTAGGCAAAAATGTATAATTTAGTCGCTCGGCAGATGGTGATAATTGCAAAAAATTATGGAAACAACATAAGCAACAACTTTTTTTTACAGGAGAGGGGGCAAACGAGCATGCGGCTCACCTGATGGTAAGTGACTACCGCCGCCCATGAACAACTGCAACACCAGGGGAACCAGGGGAATTGCAGATGCGTTGCCGGCCTTTTAAAAAGGAGTAGGCTCTTTTCTTGAAGGTCCCTAAGTCGTATCGGTCCGGAAAAATCGCTGATGGTAATCGATTCCACAAGGAAGTCGTACGAGGAAGACAACATCTTCTAAATCGCACAGTGGTGGACCGCCAATCATTCAGAAAGTGTGGATGGTATCGAGAGTTTTGCCGCGATGTGCTTTCGTGAATTTTGGCGGCAGGGAACAATTCCTCAGAGCACTCCCCGTGGTAAATGCGAAAGAAAATGCAAAGGATGCAACATCTCTTCGCAATAAAAATGGGAAGGGATGCAACATCTCTTCGCAATGCCAATGAATCGAGCCGATCGGAAAGGACTCGGTCGTCGACGATTCGAGCCGCTCTGCGCTGGATGCGGTCAAGTGGAAGGAGCTGGCACTGGGGAGCCCCTGTCCAGAGATGGGAACAGTATTACATGTGAGGCCGAACCTGCGCCTTGTAAAGTTGCAGGCGGTGTGCCGGCATGAAATATTGTCCCACTCTGCTGAGCACGCCAAGCTTTTTAGAGGCCAATTTGGCCTTCTCTTCCAAGTGACCACGAAACTGCACGTCACTCGATATGTCGACTCCGAGGATTCCGATACTGACTATGTGCTCTGACTTTGCCTTGGCAGTAACTCTTTTGAAGGACCTGGAGGCGAAGCTATACTTCTTTTTAAGTATGCTGGTGTTTACATCCCAAGTCGCCGAAGCCGCAACCCAGGCTTGATAACACTGCGTATTGCAGTCTTACAGGAGCGACCAAACCAAGGCCTGCCTCCGATAGGTATCACAGATGATGGAATAAATAGTTTCATTCCCTGTAGCACCACCTCAGTGATAAAGTCAGCAACAGCACTGGGATCATCCGGCGAAACTTAAACCTGCCCCCATGGGTAGGCTGCAAAGGCAGACCGCATTCCGTTCTAATCCGCCGACCTGTAATGCCAAGCACGGCGGCAACCTGCAGAACGCAACTGCGAGGGGAGCGTGAGTGGCACCACACTTCAGATCAGACAATGGTCCGAAGAGCCGAGTGGGGCATCGACTGGAACTTGATACCCGTCCGGATAAGAGGTCAGCAGAAGGTCCAACAGGGAAGGTACATGATCCTCCACATCTGCAATCCGCGTAGGCGAAGTAACCAGTTGTGTCAGACCATATGCGAAGTCAAATTCATAAACAGATCTCCCCGCATGATCGGTTAAACCTGAACCGAGCCATTCGGCGTGGTGGACGTTAAAATCGCCAAGTATCACGATCTCTGCGGATGGGACCTGTTGTAGCAAGAAACCTGTAGCCATTTGGACGTGGTCGATGAGTCGGTCTGTTTCGGCATTACCGCTATGGGACGTATAGAGGCACACGTAGACGCCCGGATGGTCGTCACTGTCTACGCGTAGCCAAAGGATG